CCGCCATATCTGGGCCTCCAGCAGCCTGGCTCACACTGGTTGCCCCGCCCTGCTGACTCCCTGAGGCCCCGCCCCACCCAACTTTCAGGCCCACCCAAGCTGTGCCAGTTGCTTTACCATAGGATTGGCCTGTCTTGGATCCTGCTTCAGGTTTTCCTAAACTCTTTCAAACAAGCAGCATCTGGTCCCAGATAGCCCCATACCTCTCGTTAAGTAATACACAGAAACAAACACAGGGAGGCATCCAAAATGAGGAGACAAAGAAACAGGTCCCAAAGGGAAGAACAGAACAAAACCCCAGGGAAAGAACTAAGCGAAATGGAGATAAGCAACCTAACAGGTGCTGAGTTCAAAATACTGCTTATAAGGATGCTCAATGAACTTAGTGAGAACCTCAGTGAACTTAGTGAGGGCCTCAAGAGCATGAAAAAAGACCAGTCAGAAATGATGAATGCACAGTCAGAAATGAAGGAGGCACTAACTGAAATAAATAATAATTTACACAGATTCAATAGTAGAGTAGGTAAAGCCAAGAAGCAAACCATAGATTGGAATATAAGGTAGCAAAAAATACCCAATCAGAACAGCAAAAAGAAAAAAGAATCCAAAAAAATGAGGATAGTGTAAGGAGCCTCTGGGGCAACTTCAAGTGTGCCAACATTCGCATCTTGGGGATGCCAGGAGAAGAGAAAGAACAAGAAATTGAAAAACTATTTGAAACAATAATGGCAGAAAACTTCCCTAACTTGGTGAAGAAAACAGACATACAAGTCCAGGAAGCACAGAGAGTCCCAAACAAGGTGAACCCCAAGAGGCCCACACCAAGACACATCATCATCAAAATGCAAAAGGTTCAAGACAGAGAGAGAGAAACTTAAAAGCAGCAAGAGAAGAGCAGTTAGTTACCTACAAGGGAGTTCCCTTAAGACTGTCAGCTGATTTCTCAAAAGAAACTTGGCAGGCCAGAAGGGAGTGGCAAGAAATATTCAGAGTGATGAAAAGCAAGAACCTACAACCAAGATTACTCTATCCTGCAAAGCTGTCATTTAGAATTGATAGCCATATAAATAGTTTCCCAGACAAGAAAAAGCTAAAGGAGTTCATCACCACCAAACCATTATTATATGAAATGTTGAAGGGTCTTCTTGATGAAAAAGATTAAAAAATATAAACAAACAAAATGGTAATGAATACATATCTATCGACAATTGAATCTACAAACAAAATGAACAGGCAGAACAGAAGCACTCTCATAGATACAGAGAACATTTTGTTGGTTGCCAGATGGGAGGGGGTTGGGGGAATGGGTGAAAAAGGTGAAAGGATTAAGAAGTACAATTGGTTGTTAGACTGACAAACCTCAAAGGGAAGGGGAGTGGGGGCTTGGAAGAGATAAACCAAAGAATTTAAATGTATATATGCATAACCAGTGGACACAGACAACAGTGTGGGGAAAGGCAGGAGGGGGGCGGGAGTGGGAAGGAGGAGGTCAATAGGGGAAATATGAGGAACATCTGTAATACATTCAACAATAAAGATAACTTTAGCCCTGGCCGGTTTGGCTCAGCGGTTAGAGTGTCAGCCTGCGGTCCAGAGAGACCTGGGTTCGGTTCCTGCTAGGAGCGCGTACCTCGGTTGCAGTTTGTTCCTGGCCCTGGTTGGTCGTGCGGGTGGCAGCCACTCGATGTGTCCCTTTCACGTTGATGTTTCTCTCTCTCCCCTTCCCACTCTATATGAAAAAAAAATGGAAAAATGTCCTCAGGTGAGGATTAAAAAAATAAATAAATAAAGATAACTTAAAAAATATAAATTAAATAAAAATAAAAGCAGGGCAAAGTTTTTGTTGTTGTTGCTATCCCAAGGATAACCTTTCCATTGATTTTTAGAGAGAGCAAAGGGGAAGGAGAGGGAAACACAGAAACATTGGTGAGAAAGACACATCAATTGCCTGCCTCCAGGACATCAAACCTGCAACCCAGGCACATGCCCTTGACCAGGAATCAAACCCTCGACCCTTTGATGCTCGGGCTGATGCTCTATCCACTGAGCCACACCAACCAGGGTGAAAGTAAGGAAAAGTTTTAATAAGGAAAAAAAGATTAATTTATTCTATTCCCTCCCCCTTAAAATTTTGCCTATAAATTTCCCAGCATCACTGGCTATGAAAATTGTCCTTGGAGACCATGGAGTAAACACATCCAGGGAACAGGGGACCTGCCTAAGGCCACTGAGTGGCTTTGCCAAGGCCTCGGTCACCAAATATAATTTCCTGCACAACTGGGATGACACCAGATAGGATCCCTGGGATTTTCTGTGCCGTTTCTTGCCTTCTGTGCCTGTACATCTATTTTTGTTTTTGACTGGAGCTGAGGTCTGCAGCTCAACTCTCCAGAGCTATAAATCCTCCCCACTCTAGAGGTGGCCTGTCACAGGTCAGCAGGGAGGTTGGCATGGGACAGCTTTGCTCCGGGCAAAGGAAAAGAAATTAGTTAAGATTCAGAAACATAGGTAAGTGGGTTTTCCACTTTCCACCAGAGGAGGGAGTCTTCCTCCTGGGATGTCATTTTCCTTGGGATGGCATTCTTGGAGGAATAGTCCAGAGTCCCAATGCCCCCTGTTACATATGAATCAATAGAGGCCACCAATAGTCGATTCAGAAAAGGAAAACTTGCCGTATAGAGGACAGAACTAAGGAGTAATCTCTGTGATGCCCAACATGCTTTTACACTTGACAAGAAGGTGATAAACAGACACTGGAAAAATGGGTCAAGGATGAGTGAGGCAGTTTATTGAAGTCAATGCATGTGAAGATGCTCAAGTTCACTGCAGCCAAGGAAATGCAGAGTGACACCCAGCGGTCTGGGGGACATTCTGGGAAAGGGGTGCCTTACTGGTGGGATGCAAAGGCTACAGTGTTGGGGGAAAGGACTGTAAGCACCCTGCACCCACCCCTCCCACTCCCTGAAACCTCACTGCAGGAATGAAAGCCCCTGGTGTACACACTATCCATAGCAGCAAGACACTGCAGGTTATGTAAATGCCCTTCAGCAGGCAGGAGGGGGCGGCATTATGGTACTGCCACTGCCACTGAGTTAGCAGCCCCACCCTGGGGGTGGGGGAGAGGGAGGCAAGGACTCCCGGTGTCAGAGTTTAAATCTTGATTTTGTGACTTGGGCATATGCCTTTATTCCTTAGTGCCTTAGTTTCCTCGCCTATGAAACAAGGAAGATAATACTAGCACCTGTTTCATGGGATTGTGGTGATTAAATAAACAACCACATAGAAAGTATTTGGAGCAATGCCTGGCCAGAGAAGTGCTACTTAACTGTTCGCTAAGTTAATGTCTTAGAGGGATCCCTCTAAGCTTGTTGTTGAGGATGAAAGTTAAGACCCAGAAAATATCATCTGCTTTGACAAGGCCCTACAGACATCTAGGTATGCCTGTGATTTCATGAGCACAGTGAACTGGGACACATAATTGTTTGTCAACGATTTCCAAAGGAGGAAGGTCGTGGGGTAAGCAAAAGAAAAACAGTTAAAGCTTCTTTATGATCATATTAATGCAGTTACTAAATTATATATATGTATGTGTATAAAGTTTCAATGATTAAAAAAAGAAAGAAACCAAGAGAGGAAAGGACCTCTATCTCCCACGGGCCCAGCAGTGATGTGAAGAGCCAAAGTCCAGCTAGCCAAAATCGTTTGTTTATTTCAAAACCAATCTCTGATACTATCTACCCCAATGCCTGCAGGAAAGAGGGAGAGGGGTGACTTGGGCACTGAAATTCCATCAGTTCTTTTTGAAGGATTGCCTTTCCTCTGTGGGAACTTCCTAGATGCGTGTTTGCAGGTCCCCTGTCCTCTTTCTAGACCTTAGCTGTAAAAGGGGAATCTCCATACTACTTTTTCCATGCTAGCAGTTGGGGCCAAGAAGGTAACAAGAAAAAGTTCTGAAAAACTCCTTTAAAAAAAAAATTTAAGATCTATTCGGCTTCATCGAATGATTCATAAACCAGGTAGCATCCCAGCTAGTAAATAAAAAGGTGCTCCGCCCTAGCCAGTTTGGCTCAGCGATTGAGCATCGGCCTGCAGAACAGAGTCCTGGTTCGGTTCCCGCTAGGGGCAGGTATGTACCACTAAAAAAAAAAAAAAAAAAAAAAAAAAAAGGCCCTCCTCCACACAGCAAATCTTCAAGTGCAAATCTAATCTTGTCATCCCTTTTAAAACCATTTTATTCTCATCCAGATTTCTTACCAGGCTACACGGACCTGCTGGATCCTAGCATGCTGGCACTATGGGGCAACCAGCTTCAACCAGGTGGCGGTGCAGTTCTTGGTGGCTTAGTTCTCTCTCCAGTCCTTTGCCTTTCACACGTCGTTCCTTCCACTTGCCTGGAAACCTCTCTCCCAGCCCTACACCTCGCTGACGCCTCCATATCCCCAGTCCTCCCTCCGAGTGTTGCTTTCTTCCAGGAAGACTTCCCAGGCTGCCCAGGGCCGGATAGGGACCCCAGGAGCGTCGGTGCCTGGTTTTTGGTCTCTTGGCCCGCACTCGGGCTTTCAGATTCGCGAGGGCAGAGATCGCACCCTCGCAGCCTACGGTCTCTGCGTTGAGTTGGGACATTTGCATCTGGGGTTCAGTGACATCCGTAAGGTCATTTCATCGGGCTCTCGGAGCTGGTTCTGGCTCGAAGCAGAGGCTGAGGGCTGCTGACTACGAAGGGCTATTTTGGGGGGTGTGGCCTTGGGAGGAAGAGGACAAAAGGGAGTGCCGGCTCATCGAAGGCAGAGGCCGCCCAGGGAGCTTGCCCCTCATAAATATGGGTGAAGTCCTCCGCCTCGGAGACGGCCCCTCACAAGGATGGCATCGCGGATTCTTATTGGTGACGGTGACGCCTTGGGCGGCGCTGATTGGCGGAGGGCGTGCCGGGGCGGGGCGAAGTGCACCGGGGCGGGGCGTCCCCGGCTCCGGCCCAGCGTGAGGTCGCCCGCCCCGGGACCATGTCGCGGGCGCGCGGCCGCCTGCGCGCGGCGCTCTTCCTGGCCGCGTTTTCTCCGCGTGGTGTTAAGAGCAGGGTCCCGGGAAGGCGAGGATTGAGCGCGAGGCCCGCGCCGCAGGAGCCCGGCATGGAGTATCAGGTATCCTGCAGACGGGCCGGCGGTCCTTACGAGGACACGTGGGCCAGGCCTGAGCCACACAGCATCCGGGGCCACCGGCTGAGGAGGGTACCGAGAAACCAGAGACTGGGGAGCTCGGGGGCGGGGACATCCTGGATTTCGGGGGTGGGGACAGGGACCAGGAAGTTGGCCTGGGCCGCCGGATCTGGAAATTCCGAGGCTGAAGTGTCCCACGTTAGAGTTGGAAGGGGTGCCCGGTGATAGGACCAGTGGCTCAGCTGGGCTTCTGGTGCTCCAGAGTCTCTGGAGTCAGGAATTAGGGGCCAGGGGGTGGGGCAAGAATCTGGAAAATGCCGGGGGCCAGTTACAACCAGAGACCAGAAACTGATGCCAGCCAACCAACCACTGAGGTCCTGAGGGGAAATAAACAGCACCCCCACTCTTACCCCCAATGTGGACCCTCCTGAGGCTGATCTATCTGCCTTCCTGGCTGGGTGACCCTGGGCACACCCTTTCTCCCTCCCAGCCTCCTTCTCTTCCCTGTCTGGTGGCTTCCAACGGCTCTTTTGTGTGGGGGGGTCACAAGAATGCCAATTTATTATTTTTTGGACACATGAACACAAAATATCCCTGCAGGCCCCCAAAAAGTTTGCAAAATTTAAACCATCACCTTATCTCAACATGGGGATACCACCCTTCCCTTAATAGTTTGGAAAGTACCTCGTATTCAGGCAGCTCTACTCTTGGTCAAAATATGGGATCCCACCCTGGCCAGTTTGGCTCAGCGGTTAGAGCGTCGGCCCGCGGACCAGAGAGTCCGAGGTTCGGTTTCTGCTAAGGGGACGTACCTCAGTTGCAGTTGTCCACACTCCAGTTGGGGTCATGTGGGTGGCAACCACTCGATGTGTCTCTCTCACATCGATGTTTCTCTCCCTCTCTCTCTCTCTCTCTTCCTCCTTCTCTCCCTCCTGCTCTATCTGAAGATAAATGCAAAAATGTCCTCAGGTGAGGATAAAATATATAAAATATATATATATAATATATATAATGCCAATTATGAGGGTTAGGCATGGAACACTTTAGGAATTCTTTGTGCTAATTCCTGCAGTTCTAAGACCCCAGCCTTCTGTGGTTCTAGCCCCACCCCAGTAGGGGCCCATAGAGTGGTGAACCCCATTGGAGCGAATGAGGGCAAAGGCCCCAGGTGTGCAGCATGGGGAGCCTGAACCGAAGGCAATGCTATTCACATTAGTCATGCTGCCTGCTTAGTCTGGCCCTCCCTGGGTGGGGTTGAGCTGCCCCAGGCTCCCATTTCTGCCAGAGCTGGAATGATGCCACTTCTCTCACCAGTGTCTAAGCTGGCCAACAGGGCTGGCATGGCAGGCTGGTGCCCTGGCCTGGCCATAGGTGTGCTGGGTGCCTATCCCTATGGACCCTAGTAAACCTTAACCTGCTTTCTGGGGACTGTGGTTGCCAGGAAGCTGTGCGCACACTAAACACCCTGCAGACCAACGCCAGCTACCTGGAGCAGGCGAAGCGCCAGCGGGGCGACCTTCAGACACAGCTGGAAGTCATGAAGCTGTTCTTGGCACGGAGTGGGCTGCAGGTAAAGTGGGCAGGGCCTGTGACCACCCCCACTTCTGTTTGTCAGTGAGTCTTGTCGCTAAGTTGGGGACCTTGTTTTTCTGTCCCAGGTGGAGGACTTGGACCAGCTGAACGTCATCCACATCACTGGAACGAAGGGGAAGGTGAAGGACAGGACCCAGGGGAGCATATCCACTGGTGGGGTGGGGACCGCCCAGACAAGAACGTTTCTTTCTAGGGCTCCACCTGTGCCTTCACTGAACGCATTCTCCGAGGCTATGGTCTGAAGACGGGATTCTTTAGGTATGAGGTGTGGAGGGATGTAGTGTCTCCTAGCTCTCTGGGGGGCTTGCACCTCAGGGTCAGGGACACCCCCCAGGGCTGAGCCGCTGCTCTCTCTGCCTCATTCTTATTAATTCAACAAGTGTTTAATTAGCACTCACTACGTAGGCTCAAGTTTATGGCAGTCTAACCTTCATAATGAGAAACATTGGAGGAGGGTAGCAGTAACTTGAGTGTACAAACTAAATACAGCCAGCATAGTCACGTGTTTTTATTAACTTAAATTCCATATACAGTTTTTAGATCATATAGAAATATTTATCAGTAAGGAGCAGAAAACCTGGCCTGTAGGGGCTTAAACGGTGAGGGTAGTTTATGCCGTACATGCTGCCTCCTGAGTGGGCAGCAGAGGGGAGCCCTCCCCCTCTGCCAGCCTCAGCTGCTGCTTTATCCTCATGGCAGCGCCCCCTCTTGGTCGCAGGCATCTAGACTCAGACCAGAAGATGGGTGAAAGTGGGGGTGTGTGTGAAGACAGGGGTTCCCCTGCCCTAGGCTGTCCATGCCTCTTCTTAGCTCATCACCTGTAAAGCAGTGGGATTAACCTGGTGGTTAATTGCTCAGGATTCATTCCTTGGGGCTGGGACATTTAAGATTTTTGCCTCCTTTTTTGTAACCAGTTTCTTCAAGTGACCTCTGAGCACCTGAAACCAGCTCACCTGGTCATTCCAGGTCATCGTGTCTTTCCCTAACCAGTTGTTCAAAATAAAGAAATGGAGAGAAGGACTCATAATATGAGAGGGTTTTTCTTTGAGGATTCAAATATAAGCTAACAATCTCTGTTCTAACATAAGTTTTCGGGTAAAAACCCAGCCTTTGACTTGAGCCTGTGTAGCCTATGGGCCAACCCCGGGTGCACAGAAGACTGGGGCACAGGCGCTATCGAGGGACTCGGGAGAGGAGAGGCCAGTGCCATCAGCTCACCTGGGTCTGGGAGGCTGAGGTGAAGATCTGGGACCCTTGAGGGCAATGGGAAGCCACAGAAGGGTTCTCAGCGGGACAGTGCCAATATCAGATTTGAGTTTCCAAAAGACAGGTGTGATGGGGGCTTGGGGGAAGGCCTGGGGGGCTCAAGCAGGGAGTCGTGATGACCCTAGGTCTCCTGGCAGCTCTCCCCACCTGGTGCAGGTGCGCGAGCGGATCCGCATCAATGGGCAGCCCATTAGCCCCCAGCTCTTCACCAAGCACTTCTGGCGCCTCTATCATCGGCTGGAGGAGACCAAGGTTTCTATACAGGAGGGCTGGTTGGGCCGCAGAAGGGGGCACTGGAGTGGGTGGATGGACCCAGAAGATGCTGTATGTCCCCGGACCCCATCTCCCCAGGCTCTGACGTGTTCCGCTCCACAGGACAGCAGCAGCTGTGGCTCCATGCCCGGATACTTCCGCTTCCTCACGCTCATGGCTTTCCATGTCTTCCTCCAAGAGAAGGTGCATGCCCACTCCCTGGAATCCTGTGTCTAAGGCCTTGGGGAGGGGAATCTTAAGCAAGCTGGGGGCTCCCATGTGGCATCCAGGTGCCCCCATACCCCCTGCCATGCCCTCTGATCCTCTGCAGGTGGACCTGGCAGTGATGGAAGTGGGTATCGGTGGGGCTTACGACTGCACCAACATCATCAGGTGAGGGCGGCTGCATGGGGAGAGGGATGGTGGTCCCGAGTCCAGGTGGCCCAGGTGGCCCAGGGCAGGGGTATCATGGCCCTTTTGTTTTCCGCAGAAAGCCTGTGGTATGTGGGGTCTCCTCTCTTGGCATCGACCACACCAGCCTTCTGGGGGACACGATGGAGAAGATAGCATGGCAGAAAGGGGGCATCTTTAAGGTGACTAGGCAGCCCCAGGGAGGGGAGGTACATGGACAGCCTGGGCCTGGCCCTTAAGGCTCAGGGAAGTGGGGCTGGGCCGGGTCTTTTGTATCCCAACTCGGGAGAGGTCTTGGGCATCAGTGGGGTCTAGGTTCTTGTCTCAGCTCTACATGTGACTGGAGCAAGTTGAGCTCATCTTCAGCCTAGTCTCCCCCATCGAGGGGTTCCCATAGGCCTCATGGGGGAGGGGAGGCTAAATGGACCACCCAGACCCAGGGATGTGGGGCCAGAGATGAAGGTGGAGGACCGTCAGCAGCTCCTGTCTCGCTCTGTCCTCTGCAGAGTGGCGTCCCCGCCTTCACTGTGCCCCAGCCTGACGGTCCCCTGGCAGTGCTGAAGGAGCGTGCGGAGCAGGTCTCGGTGAGCGCCTGGAGTGCCGGGGAGCTGCTTTATTCTTCGGGGCTCGGGGCTCGGGGCTCAGCTGTGTGCTGAGGGCCAGCTGGGGCACAGCGTTCTTTTTTGTAATCCTCACCCGAGGATATTTTTCTACTTATCTTCAGATGGAGTGGGAGGGAGGGAGAGAGAGAGAAACATCGACATGAGAGGGACACATCGAGTGGTTGCCTCCCGCATGACCCCAACCAGGGCCAGAGACTGAACCACAACCGAGGTACTTGCCCTTGACCGGAATCGAACCTGCGACTCTGGTCTGCAGGCTGACACTCTAACCGCTGAGCCAAACTGGCCAGGGCTAGGGGCACATCTTGATTCGAGGAGCAGGGCTTGGTGGGGAAAGATGGAAAGGCTGGAGACATCAGGAAGGGCCTCCCAGGTGGCAGCAGCAGCTCCCTGACTCCTCTGTAGTGTCCCCTCTATCTGTGCCCGCCGCTGGAAGCCCTGGAGGAAGGGGGGCCACCACTGACCCTGAGCCTGCAGGGAGAGCACCAGCGGTCCAATGCCGCGTTGGCCTTGCAGCTGGCCCGCAGCTGGCTGCAGCAAAAGGACCACCAAGGTAAGTGGGCCGGCTGGTGGGCAGGGGACCTGTGGAGCCTGCCTCTGAGGGTCCACTCAGCCGCACACAGCCGTGCCTTGCCCCTAGGCACCGGGGAGCTGAAAGCGTCCAGGCCAGGCCTGCTGTGTCAGCTGCCTCTGGCACCCACGTTCCAGCCCACGTCCCACATGCGGCACGGTGAGTTAGAGGCGCCTGCCCAGCCAGGTCTCTTCAGATGTTTCTTTCACTTTCCCCTTTGAGAGGTGGAGTCAATTCAGTATAGTGCCCAAGAGAACGGACTCTGAAGTCAGTAATCTTCCCAGACTCTGAGTTCATGAACTCTCTGTGAGCCTCAGTTTCCCCACCTGCCAAATGAGATGAGTATAGGACCCACTGTGAGGTGACATCACCAAGGGACTGAGCCCAGAGCCTGGCAAGTGTGGGATAAAGTGACCAGCCGGTGGTAGCTGCTGCTACTGTCATCTTTGTCACCGTCATCATAAGACCATGAGGTTCTTGAGAGGGGTGATATTGTGAGCTTCTTGCTTCCCCCCAAACTTTCAGCACATAGTAGGTGCTCATGGCTGTTAAACCCCTCAGCAGATGCTTCCAGTGTGCTCAGTGTGTGCCAGGCCTCAAGCCAGGGCCATGACAGCCCTGGAGGCAGGTAGATCTTGAATCACATCCCAGTCCCAAGGCTCACGTGCTCTGTGACCCAATCTCTCTGAGCTAAGGGCTAAAATATATGAAAGGAGCCCCCTCTGAGGGCTGCCTAGAAGATCCCACCAGATGCGACCGCAGAATTGCTGGTCCTGCTCACTGCACCGGTCATAGGCTCCTGGGCTGATCAGCTCCTCCCAGCGCTGACCGGTGCTGCAGGCGGGTCATTTGTGCGAGTTGAAGACAGGTGGGGGAGAATGCGGGGAGGGCCTCAGGAGAGCTGCCATACCCCCTCCTCCAGGGCTTCAGGACACGGAGTGGCCGGGCCGCACGCAGATACTGCGTCGCGGGCCCCTCACCTGGTACCTGGACGGCGCGCACACCTGCGGCAGCATGCAGGCCTGCGTGCGCTGGTTCCTGCAGGCGCTGCGCCCCCAGAGGCCCAGCAGGTGAGCGCACTGGGGCGTGTGGGGGCGGGGTGCCCAGGAGGGGCGGGGCCTCGGGGAACACGGCGACCTGTCCAGTGAGGAGGAAGGAAGTTTCTGCTGGAAAGGTCGTGGGTGTGGCCGTTACCTGCCTCCTGGCCCCTCTCGCAGCGGGCCTGAGGTGCGCGTCTTGCTCTTCAACTCTACCGGTAACCGGGACTCCTCGGCCCTGCTGAAGCTGTTGCAGGTGAGAGGCTGGCTGGTGGTTGGGCAACAGTCAGACCAGCCCTGATCTTTGTGACACCCCCTCCCCGCCACCCAGTGGTGTGCTCATCCCTCAACCTCGGGCTTCCTCATTTGTACAATGGGACTAATTCCTGCTCAGTAGCTGGGTGACCTTAAGCTGTAACCCCGCCCCCAAGCCTGTTCCCCCACCTGTACAGTGGGCTGTGCTGCCCAGGCCAGGCAGGGCATACTGAGGTAGATGGGGGCACTGAGGTGCTGTGGCTGGCTTTATGCAGCATCACAGCATCGGCGGGTGTCTCCAGAGGTGGGCACGGGGATGTGGGCTCCCTGTGCTGTGTGGAAGATGGGGTGGGGTGGGCATCCTTCCGGGGCCCTGGAACCAAGCTTTACCCCTTGGCCTTCCAGCCCTGCCAGTTTGACTATGCTGTTTTCTGCCCTAACCTGACAGAGGTGTCATCCATGGACAATGCAGGTGAGAGGTGACAGGCGTGGTCACTTGAGGTGGGCAGGTGTGGAGGGCCCTGAGATGGACTGCCCTGTTGGTGGTAGTGGGGGGCTTCTGAACTGGAGGTCTGGGCTAGGAGCTTGATTTGATTTGTTGTATAAATATTCTTCGGTACGTTTTGACTTTTGCATGTGACTGTGATACTAAAAAAGAATTATTGGGGAAAACATTTTTCAAAATGTAGGTTAAAACCTACTGATGAGCCCTGGCCGGTTTGGCTCAGCAGTTAGAGCATCGTCTTGCGGTCCAGAGAGACCCGGGTTCATTTCCCGCTAAGGGCATGTACCTCGGTTGCAGTTTGTCCCCGGCTCTGATTGGTTGTATGGGTGGCAGCCACTCGATGTGTCCCTTTCACGTCGATGTTTCTCTCTCTGTTCCTCTCTCTCCTTCCCACTCTACCTGAACAAATAATGGAAAAGCATCCTCGGGTGAGGATTAAAAAAAAAACAACCTACTGATGATTCTTGAAATCAATTTAGTGGGCCTCACCCAGCATTTTCTATTTTTTTTTTTTTATTTCTTTAAATATGTTTTGATTTTTTTTTAGAGAGAGAGAGGAAGGGAGAGAGAGATAGAAACATTGATGGGAGAGAGAAACATCAATCAGCTGCCTCCCACATGCCCCCCACTGGGGATCAAGCACGAAACCTGGGCATGTGCCCCAGCTGGGAATCAAACTGGGGCCTCTCAGTCCATGGGACAATGCTCAAACCACTGAGCCACACTGGCCAGGCCATTTTCTGTCTTAAATGAAATAGAATAGAAAATATCTGTGTGTCTTGCATGAAGTAAGGGTAGGTATTAGGAAGATTCTGTTCCAGACATTTCTATACACGTATGAGTACTGGATGTCATTGTGAAATGTATTTTTTATTGTGGGTCCCATTCAAAAAAATCTGAAGTAATATTCTAGAAAAATATAGCTCCCCAGGCCCCACATCAGAGTCCAGGAATCTGCATTTCTAGGAATGCTTATGCACACCCAGTGATGGACCCTGTCCATTTTACAGATGAAGGCAATGAGGCTAGGGTGGGGAGATGTGTTCAGTGGGCAAAAGCCCCAGCTTTGAAGCTAAGCTGTCCAGCTTTGCTTGTCACCAGCTCTGAGACACTAGACAAGTCACTGAACTCTGAACCTGTTTCCTCACAGTGTCCACTATGAGGACGAGCGATACATGTAAAAGGCTTGAACTAGGCAGGTGTCCACAGCATGCTTGCCTTTACCCCTTCCGCCTCACTGATGTGCCTGTCCCTGTGTCCTGCAGACCAGCAGAACTTCTCAGTGACACTGGACCAGGTGTTGCTCCGTTGCTTGGAACACCAGCAGCAATGGAGCCGCCTGGATGAGGAGCAGGCCAGCCCAGACCTTTGGAGCACCAGCCCGGAGCCTGGTGGGCCCACATCTCTGCTGCTGGCACCCTGTCCGCCCCACACCCACAGCACCAGCTCCCTCGTCTTCAGCTGCATCTCCCATGCTTTGCAGTGGATCAGCCAGGGCCTGGACCCTGTCTTTCAGACATCCAGTTCCCCACAGAACCTTCTTGCCCACCCTGTGGCAGACAGCGGGGCCAGCATACTCCGTGAGGCTGCTGCCATACACGTCCTGGTCACAGGAAGCCTGCACTTGGTGGGCGGTGTCCTGAAGCTGCTAGAGCCCTCCCTGTCCCAGTAGCCGAGGTGGTAGGGTTGGAGGTGGGGCCTCCCACACCTGCCCTGCGTCTCTCCATGAACTATATTAGGTGCCTTTTGTTTTCTTCTTTCCTGATTTTGTCTAGACTGGCCCAGGGGCCTGGGCTCCGGGCAATGAAATAGATGGCTGGTGGGTGGGAGGTGGAGATCAGACATCCCGTCTCTGAGCCTGTGGTACCCTTGGCCTCTCCTTCCTCCCTGCTGAGACAGCCAGGGAGCTTCCCAGTCCTGTTGTAACAGGCCTGACAAATCAGCCTATCTCCCTCCCACCCAGACTGCTTCCTGGCCAGGCCTAGGGTCCTGCCACGTGAGGTCGATCGATTTTTCTCCCCTCAGTGGCCTTCTGGAAAAAGAGAGGGTCCCTGCTTGGGGCCCCCTGAGGACAGAGGGTGGCTAAATTAAATTAAAGTCTTTATCTTTAAAACAAATAGCAAAATGTTTGATTTAACTCTTGATCTCTGGCTCCCTCGGCAGACAATAGGGGGATGAGGATTGTGGTGTAGGAATTGGATTGTGTGGCCTGGGACAGGTCCCTTCTTCCTGAGCCTCAAGTGGCCTGTCTGTGAAGTGAGAAGACTGGCCTGTTTGTTGACCACACACCAGGCACTGCTTTGCAGACCTCCCCATAGAGACCTTGTGATTGAGAATCTTCTACCCATTTTACAGATGAGGGAATTGTGGCCAGCTTGAAGAAGCCATGGGACCTGCCCACAGTCACACAGCCAAAAGTGGCAGGTCTAAGATTTGAGCCCAGAGCTGCCCTCACCCCCATTTTAGGTGCCCCTTCCCTTCTCCCAGCCTAGCACTGATTTCATGGTCTGATTTATTGGTGGTGAGTATATAGGGGTGGGCCCAGGTCAGGCAGCCCGGCCACTCCTGTCTGCTGCCTGATGGGCTCAGAGGAAAGGGGTCTCCATGTGACAGTTGCAGGAAGGAGCTAGGCTCCCCCACTCTCAGGCTGGGCATCCTTAGGCTTCAGTCCTCCCCACCCCCAAAGTTGTGCCAGTCCAAGGTTGTGCTGCTGGGATCAGGTCTTGGTTCTGGGCTGGTCACTGAGGAGGCGCTTGAGGCCTGAGGAGGCTGGGCAGTCTTCCGAGTTCTCACCTCCTGTCCAGCCCAGGTCATTGAGTGCTGGATCCAGTTAAAATGACAGGGACTTGGTTTCTACAACAATGTGGACATGCAGGATAGTGTTCTGTCTCCCTGTGGTTCTGGGCAGCCATACCCCAGGCCCACTGAGTTTGAAGGTTCTGCAGGGTGAGGTGGGGGGACCCCAAGGTATTCCGAGCTGGTGTCCCCGCTGGCTGCAGGCCTCTGAGAAAGAGGCAGAGGGCATGGTCCATCCTTGGTTGAGTGGAAGGATTGGGGTCCTGGAGTGAGTTCATCACCAATGGTTCCCAGCTGGTGGCTGCTCAGTCTCTCCTGCTGGGCAAGGGCTGGCTGGGTGGCCCCCAGGGCTCCAGGCTGGGCACTACGCCATGCTGCTGGTGGAGCAGGGGGTGCTCTGGGTGCTCCCGATGCTGTGGTTGGTGCTACTGCTTTCTGAGGAGGCCGGGGCAGCCACTGCCACCACGGGGTCCCGCTTGCTGGGGGGACCTGGGGGCAGGGGCGGAGGTCAGGGCCCCGGCCAGGGCTCCCCCCGCCCCCAGAGGCTTCGTCGGGCTCCCCCAGGTGGTAGTAGAGGGGTCCTGAGCACTCATGGTGGGGGCCTGGGATACTCACGTGTGTGCGAGTAGATATACCAGAGCGCGGCAGTGAGCAGGGCCCCGATGAGGAAGGCGCCGAAGGTGATGCCCAGCACGGCGGGCAGGACGAGGGTCTTGCCTGTGCAGCCGAAGAAAGGACAGCTGCGGTCAGCGCGCCTGCCTCCTCCCGGCCCCGCCCTGGCTCCCTACCCTGGTGCTGGCCGGAGCGCGGGTTTGGGGGTGAGTCCCAGCTCACTGCCCTGACTTCTCTGAACTTGTCTTCTCATCTAGCAAGTGGGTTCATTACGCCCATGCCTGGCACTAAGCTGTGGTTGCTATGATCGCCTACCAAGAGGGCCTAACCAGGCCTTGTGGGCCATGCCTCTGCCTCCGCCCCCCAAGGCTGACGGAGATACATTTTAGGGAGGCTGGATGGTATAATCTGAGCAAAGAGTGCGTGAGGCCTGGGGGTCCAGAGCCTGTCCCTTCTCTCTGTGTGACCTTAGGTCAATCCCTGCCCGCTCGGGGCCCTACACCATGGCAGGGATGGGCAGAGCACCTCTGACGGCTCTCTAGCTCTGCCCTTGGGCTTTGCCAAGCCTCACTTCTTCCACACTCTGACTCGTGTGTGACCGTGGGCCAGCCAGCCTCCCCTTGGGCCGGAGTTCCTGTCCCCGCAATGGGGTTATTAGCCCTTGTCTCCTGGTTGGGAGCTGGGAGTGGGGCTCCATCCTGGCCCAGGTTGGGTGGCAAAGGGGAAGGTACCCTCCACCTCTGCCTCCAATGTCAGGGACTCTTCGGCCCGGGGGTGGGGGCCAGAGGGAACTAACAAAGGGGTTGGAGGGTGCTGGGCTGAAGGGGCGTCCTCCCCAGTGGAAGTCTTAAGGTGAGGCCAGCACCACTCCACGTGCCTTGTGTCCCATCCAGACCTGATTGTGAAGGCCCCATCCCCCCAGTGAGGTCAACCAGCCACCATGGGGATCAAGAAGAGCCAAAGGTGCCCTGGCCCAGCAGTGGTTTGGCTCAGCAGTTTGAGTGTCGGCCCACAGACTGAAGGGTCATGGGTTCGATTCCCGGTCAAGGGCACGTGACTGGGTTGCAGGTTCAATCTCAGGCCCCGGTTGGGGTCTTGCTGGAGGCAGCCAGTCAGTGTGTCTCTTTCACCTAGATGTTTCCCTTTCTTTCTTCCCTCCCGCTTCCCTTCCACCCTATCTCAAAATCAATGGAAAAAGATGTTCAGGTGAGGATTAACAACAACAAAAAAAGATGCCCGGCCAGTGTGGCTCAGTGGCTGAGTGTCGACCCATGCACGAAGAGGTTGCCGGTTCGATTCCTGGTCAGGGCACATGCCCAGGTGGTGGGCCGGATCCCCAGTTGGGGGCATGCAGGAGGCGGCCAGTCAATGTTCTCTCTCATCGATGTTTCTCTCTCTCCTTCCTTCTCCATTCCTCTCTCTCAATAAAGGGGGGAAAAAAAAGTAAAAGTAGCTTAAAAAAAAGAGGAAGGAAAGAGTCGAAGGCCTGGAATCACGGCCCACGGGGTGGTCCGGAGCGAAGGCTCTCCCTCTGGAAGACGCAGCTGTGGGCCCTACTCCAGGCAGCGGGGCCCCTTCCCGCCCTCCTCCCAGGGACGCTCTCTCGGGTCCTCCCTGCTGGGAACCTGGGCCCCATCCCTCTGGGCTGTCTGTGTGCCCCACTCTGACCTCAGCCACTGGGACCCCAGAGACACCTGGAGAGAGCTCACCAGGCATGTCAGGGCTGACGATGTTCAGACGCATGGAGACAGTCCTGCGGACATCCTGGGGAAGGAAGAGAGCCGTGTGTGGCGCAGCCGCCGAGAGGAAGCCTCCAGGTTTACTCCCTGCGCTGACGCAGGCACAGCCTATCCTAGCACCTGGGCCTTGCATCCCACCACGTTCCAGCTGGGCGCCTCAAGCACGTCGGAGATCTGTGCCTCGGGTGTTGGGGGGACAGTCCTTGGCTGCCACTGGAATGTTTCCTGAGCCCCTGACTCCCACGAGGACGGTGGGAGCACTCCGCACTGCATTCATTGCCCTCACCAGTGATTTGGAAAGATCAGCCAGGTTGGCCTGGAGGCCCAGGCTCATGGCTGGAGGCAGAGGGCCTGCCCGGAGTGGCCCCAGAGGCTTCTCTCGGTTCATCCAACCAGAGACCCTTCTGTGTGCAAGGGCTTGGAGACGGGTCCAGGCTGAGTGCCTGAGAGTGGAGAGCCCCCGCATGGTGACTGGTAAAGGCAGAAAATCAGAAAGGTGTCTCCTGTCTGAACCCTCTTCCCTGAGGTCCCTTGTTTACTGAGATTACACTGGTGAGTATACTTCATGGGTGGGTGGACGGATGACGGATGTGGAAGGACTATGGATGAAGAACTGGGTGGGATGTGGGATGGTGGACAGATGGATGGACAGATGGACGGTTGCAGCTGCATATCCTACCAATGTCCAAGACACAGCAAAGTCATCAGAGGCCATAGGGTGGCAGAAAGAGTACCCCTGGTAGCCAGAAACCACACACCTGACTGTGCCTCTGCCCCTGCCAACTGGTCTCACATCCTCCTGGTCTGTCGTGTCCCTTCCTGAAACCCCCAGACCGAAAAGCCACCCTTGACATTGGGCTTGGCTCAGGCCCCACTCACCAGAGACGACGTCCCAAGACGCAGGGCTACAGTGCAGCTGAGGGTGCCAGCCTTGGGTGTGGGCACCATGTAGCCACGGAGGAGGAAGCTGAAGCGCATGTCACCGTGAGGGCTTGAGGACAGCAGGCTCACGCAGCTACCCTTGGCCACACTGCTCTGGATGAGTTCCACGGTGTCTGCCTCAGGCCGCAAATCCAGCTGGCAGCTGTCCAGTTTGAGCGTGAGCTCGGGGATCCACGGGGACATGCTCACCTGCACAGGTAGGCAAGGGGGACAAGGCCTGAGCAGCTCCTCTTCACCCTTCACCCTGCCCGCGCTCGGGAAATGATCTGGATTCCTTCTCGAGCACCTGCCCCTGAGCCCGGAGGGCGGGACAGTCAAGGGCCTCCCAGGAGAAGGTGACATTACAATCAGAGCCTTTGAGCTCTGCCTTTTCTGTCTCTGCCCCCATCACGCACAATGTGGCTCTTTCCTTCCTCTGGACAGTTAAATTCTCATCTTCTCTGGACGAATGGTGGGAAGAAAGGTTCTGAGAAGTCCCAGGAGGTGGCAGTCCTGGGAGGTCAAGTCCAGTACCTGCACAAAGCCCTGTTGTCCCAGCTCAATGGCGTTGGAGGGCTGGAGGAACTGCGGGGTGAGGTAGAGGCCCAGCTGCAAGGAGAGGCTTTTCATGTCGATGCACTGCACCTGTTTCTGTGGGAGACGGAGGGACGGCGTCAGTCTGGGAGGGGCGGGGTGGGGACGGGAGCAGGGGTCATGGTCCAGAGGAGTTGCCTGACCCTCATCCTCATCTTTAAAAAATAACAAGTTCGGCCGGTGTGGCTCAGTGGTTGAGCGTCGACCCATGCACTAAGAGGTCGCCGGTTCGATTCCCGGTCAGGGCACATGCCCAGGTTGTGGGCCCGATCCCCAGTAGGGGGCATGCAGGAGGCGGCCAATCGATGTTCTCTCTCATCGACGTTTCTATCTCTCTCTCCCTATCTTTTCCTCTCTCTCTCAAATCAATACAGAAAAAATAAATAAATAAAAATAAGAACCAACAACGAAAAACTAATATTTATCAAGAACTCTGCACAGGCCTGTGGGAAGTGCTGTCCCGGGGTCATCTCTGACTGCTCTTAAGCACCCTCTCAGGGGATCCTTTTTATGCCTCTGCTCACAGACATGACCTTGGGGCCCAGAAAGCTTTCAGTGTTTGCCCAAGGCCACACAGACAGTATGTGCTAGAACCTGCTCACTTGAGAGGCTGAGAACAGAACCCTAAACAGTACTGGTCCCGTTGAACAGAAGGGGAGGCTGAGCCACTCTGAAGCCAGGGCTGGACCAGGCCTGAGACTGCCGAGGCCTGCGCCCTCCCAGGCCTGGAAGGGACCCCAGGCCCCTGGACCAGATGTGTTAGCACGGTGATCATCCATCTCACCCGCTGTGGTGATGAGCTTGACAGGAAGCTGACGACCACCTGCAAGAACAGAGCCAAAGAGCTGGTCAGAGTTGGGAATGACCCCAGAGGGGATCCCACCCAATACTCCCCTTTTATAGTTGGGGAGATGGAACCAACCATGGCTACCCTGCTCTTGTCTTCCTCCTGAGCACCCCTCCCCATCCTCCCCAAGGCCCCTCAGCCTAGAAGGTCAAGGAGGCACCTGAGGGGGCCACCAACTAGGCTGTTCCCTTTCCTGCCCCAGCTCTTACCTCATTATGGACCACATTGTCCATCACTTTCATGCCACAGTTGGAGTAGGTGCTGTGTAAGACCAACTGGTCACCTCTGTCCTCAGCCTGGCAGCTGGGGTCCAAGAAGGTCAGGCTCGTGATGGTGCACTTCAAAGGCTAGGCCGGGATTGGGGGACACCGTCAGGAGGCGCCAGGCTCCCTGGGGTCTGTCCCTCACAACCCAGCACCAAGGACTGAGCATAACCCAGGGGTCACAGGCGTCCTTCCGCCCCCCTCTTCATTTTTGTTAGATTCGGTCATCCTACACCATTTAAGACAATGCTTTTCCTGAACTTGATTCGCTTTCTACTTAACCTTGTCCTAAGCAATGAAATGTGTGACATCATGAGTTCGATTTACTACTTACTATTTTTCTTCTAATATATATTAAAACAAATGCAGAACTATTAAAATTTTTAAATTCATTTGAGCCCTGGACAGTTTTGGTCAGCGGTCAGAGCAGCGGTTCTCAACCTGTGGGTCGCGACCCCTTTGGGGGTCGAACGACCCTTTCACAGGGGTTGCCTGAGACCATCGGAAAATGATCCAATGATCTTAGGAACCGAGACACGGCTCCTCTATCCGTCTCCAGGCGGGTCCGCCCAGGTGCAGATGCGCCCACACACAACATGAGGACCTGTATTAAAGGGTTGTGGCAGCCCTGGCCGGTTTGGCTCAGCGGTTAGAGCGTCCGCCTGCGGTCCGGAGAGACCCGGGTTCGGTTCCCGCTAAGGGCACGTACTTCGGTTGCAGTTTGTCCCCGGCCCTGGTTGGTCGTGCGGGTGGCAGCCACTCGATGTGTCCCTTCACGTCGATGTTTCTCTCTCTCCCTTCCTCTCTCTCCCTCCCACTCTATCTGTACAAAAAATGGAAAAATGTCCTCGGGTGAGGATAAAAAAATAAAAAAATAAATAAATAAAAATAAAGGGTCGTGGCATTAGGAAGGTTGAGAACCACTAGGTTAGAGCGTCGGCCTGGGACCTATGATTTGCGGGTTCGATTCTGGTCAAGGGCACATACCTCAGTTGTGGTTCGTCCCTGGCCCTGGTTGGGGTTGTGTGAGAGGCAACCAGTTGATGTGTCTCTCTCACATCAATGTTTCTCTCTCTCTCCCCCTCCCACTCTATCTGAAGATATTTGGAAAAAATGTCCTCGGGTGAGGATTAAAAAAATAAAAATAAATTAAAAAAATAAAAATTCATTTGAGTTCTACATACAACCACTGCTCACAGCCCCAGGTGCATGCAGACCCCGCCAGCATAATCCAGTCTCAGAGCCTAGACTCCTGGACCTGCGGTCAGCAAACTTCCTTTGAAGGGCCAGAGAGCAAATGCTGTGTTAGGCTGTGCTGACCATGTGGTCTCTGTTGTAATGACCCAACTTTGCCTTTATCGCCTGAAAGCAGCCACAGACAATACGTCCTTGTGGGTGTGGCTAAGTGCCATTAAAACTTTATTTACAGAAACAGGAAGCGGGCCCTAGTTTGCCATCTCCTGTTTTAGAAGAATCAGATCTTCGAATTTCTCAGTCACACTCTTAGGATCAAAGAATCTCAGTCTTAGAGATGAGTGGGCTGTTGGAGGTCCCACTTGAGTTCAGCAAACTCACATCCACTCCCAGAATGCTGTCCCTGCCTGCCGCTGCCCTGGCTGCCCGCGGCCACCCTAGGAGACAGCCCACCAAACAGAAATGGCTCTGCACTGGGTGAAGCCCCAGCGAGCGCGGGCCTGAAATTCAAACCACACACACACTCACCACTTTTCATAAACCCTTGAGAGGTTGCATGCCCCGTGTTTGGCAGCCAATCTGTTCAGGCCCTTTGCTTTGTGTTTTCTTCTACACTGACATATGTACTCAGAGGAACTGTGTGGGGTTTTTTTTTTCTTTCTTTTTTTGGTATTTTTAACAAATGGCACCATACTGTCCTTCATGCTGCAGCTTAGTTTTCTCACTGAACAATAAATCATATATAACTTTCTGTGTCTACATTTATAGATCTAACACATTCTTTTTAGTGCAGTGTAATGTTCCAAAGACTGATGGGTGATAACGTACTCATCCAGGCCCCTTAGGACCAGGTAACAGTAATGCCAGCTGTCACTGGTCACTGCACCCCCACCCCCACCCCAGACATCTGTTGGGCCACGTGCAGGCAGGGGAGCAGGGGGAGATGGGCAGAGACAGATGGAGCTTCAGATAGGCTCCTATACCTCACACCCCAAATAACTCCCACACGGGCTTAACCATAGACTATTATTCTAAAAATCCTTGAGAACATGGGTGATTTGTTGAGGCTCTAGCAGCAAGATTTCTTGCCTCAGAAAGCTCAGAAGAAATCACAGAGGGGAAGATGGGCAGCTAGAATGGCCCAGTGTTTTCAAATATGCAAAAAGTTAAAAACTACTGTAGCAAAAATGTAAAGAACTATAAAAAACTGGGAGAAATTATTTCGATAAGAAGGAAGGACAAGGGGCCCCAAATTGTTTTCTTTATGTAAAAAGCTTATAAAAATTATCAAGAAAAATACCAAGCCCTGGCCGGTTTGGCTCAGCGGTTAGAGCGTCGGCCTGCGGTACAGAGAGACCCGGGTTCGGTTCCCGCTAAGGGCACGTACCTCGGTTGCAGTTTGTCCCCGGCCCTGGTTGGTCGTGCGGGTGGCAGCCACTCGATGTGTTCCTTCACATCGATCTTTCTCTCTCTCTCTCTTCCTCTCTCTCCCTCCCGCTCTATCTGAACAAAAAATGGAAAAATGTCCTTGGGTGAGGAAAAAAAAAGAAAAATACCAAGCCACAGTGATAAAGAGCCTTAGGTTATTATCAGTCATATGGAGCCATGCCCACACTCACTACTCAGCAAGGAAGTATGAATTAGAACTAGAATGGAGCTCAGCCGGTGTGGTTCAGTGGCTGAGTGTTGACCTATGCACCAAGAGGTCACCGGTTCAATTCCCAGTCAGAGCACATGCCCAGGTTGTGGGCCATATCCCCAGCGGGGGGCATGCAGGAGGCGGCCAATCGATGTTCTTGCTCATCGATGTTTTTATCTCTCGCCCTTTCCCTTCCTCTCTCTCTAAAAATCAATTTTAAAAAAACACAAAAACTAGAATAGAACGCCACATTCCACCTCCCACATTGGCAAAGGTTTTTTTAAAACAACAATAATAGTCTAGAAAGAGAGAAAGAATCACAGTGCTCTCATAAAACAGCAGTAAGAATTAGAATCATCTTTTAAAAAGTGGGTTGCCAACATGAATCAAAACTTCCAGAACGTTCACTCATTTTCACCCAGCAATCTCACTAATGTGAAAATCTATCCCAAGAAAATAATCCCATATTTTTAAAAGTTTCATACACAATGACATTTTCTGCATATTTATAATATTACAGAATTGGAAACAAGCTAAAGGTCTAACAAGGGAGGAGGAGTTAATTATGGCCTGTCAATACGATGGAATAATATGTGCTCGTTAAACGTGATATTAAGTACCTATGTCAAAGCTCTAAAAATACGTTAAGTGTGAAAAAAAAAAAAAAAAGCCCTGGCCGGTTTGGCTCAGCGGTTAGAGCGTCGGCCTGCGGTCCAGAGAGACCTGGGTTCGGTTCCCACTAAGGGCGTGTACCTCGGTTGCAGTTTGTCCCCAGCCCTGGTTGGTCGTGTGGGTGGCAGCCACTCCATGTGTCCTTTTCATGTCGGTGTTTCTCTCTCTCTCTCTCTCTCCCTCTCTCCCTCCCACTCTGTCTGAACAAAAAATGGAAAAATGTCCTCAAGTGAGGATAAAAAAAATAAATAAAAATACGTTAAGTGAATATAGCTTCAGACACAAGTGCATCTGATATGATTCTACCATATAAAAAATACACAGAGCATACATTCTAGAAAGAAACAAACCAAAATGTTGGTAGCCATTGTCTTTTGGTAAAGATTGAGTTTTTCTTCTTTTCTAATTTTTCCACACTTTTTAAAAAAATTTTATTTTTTTATCCTCACTCGAGGACATTTTTTCATTTCTTTGTTCAGATAGAGTGGAAGGGACAGAGAGGAGGAGAGAGCGAAACACGACATAAAAGGGACACATTGAGTGGCTGCCACCCGCACGACCAACCAGGGCCGGGGACAAACTGCAACAGAGGTACATGCGCTTAGCGGGAACTGAACCCAGGTCTCTCTGGACCGCAGGCTGACGCTCTAACTGCTGGGCCAAACCAGCCAGGGCTTTCCACATTTTTTTAGAAGCCTGTGTTCTGCCCTGCTGCTTTGGCCCAGCAGTTAGAGCGTAGGCCCACAGACCAAAGAGTCGCAGGTTCAATTCTGGTCAAGGGCACGTATCTCGGTTGCAGTTCCATCCCAGGCCCTGGTCGGGTTCATGTGGGAGGCAACCAGTCAATGTGTCTCTCTCACATCAATGTTTCTCTCTCTCTCTCCTCCTCCCACTCTGTCTGAAAATAGGAAAAATATCCTCGGATGAGCATTAAAAAAAAAAGCCTGTGTTCTTTTTATAATAAATATCCTTGCTCTTCAATTAGGCAGAGATCATATTGTGGAGGTCTTCTAAGTGAGCACACAGCTCGGCCTGCATTTCAGATTAATATTGTCAACTACATAGTAGCTATTTTTTTTTCTTTATTGTTTGTTTGTTTGTTTGTTTGTTTTTATCCTCACCCGAGGACATTTTTCCATTTTTTTGTTCAGGTAGAGTGGGAGGGAGAGAGAGGAACAGAGAGAGAGAGAGAAACATCGATGTGAAAGGAACACATCGAGTGGCTGCCACCCGCACAACCGACCAGGGCCGGGGACAAACTGAAACCGAGGTACGCGCCCTTAGTGGGAACCGAACCCGGGTCTCTCAGGACCGCAGGCCGACGCTCTAACCGCTGAGCCAAACCGGCCAGGGCTTTTTTTTCTTTATTGATTTTAGAGAGAGAGGAAGAAAGAGGGAGAAAGATAGAAACATCGATGAGAGAGAACAGTGATTGGCTGCCTCCTGCATGCCCCTCACTGGGGATTTAGATTCCTGGGCATGTGCCCTGACTGGGAATCAAACCGGTGACCTCTTGGTGCATGGGTCGACACTCGACCACTGAGCCACACCGGCTGGGCCCTAGTAGCTATTTATTGAGCACTTACTGTGCACCACATCTGGCTCAGCATGTCAGACCTCACTTAATTCTCACCACATGGTAGGTACCATTTTCAATTCCATTTTACAAGTGGGAAAACAAGCTTGTAGAGGGATGTGACTTATTCCTCCACCAGGGTTAGGACCCCAAGATTCTTAGGCTAGAGGAGGGCTGCCCATGTCAGCCAGGTACGACAGGCAGGGATTCCCTTACCAAGATGAGATTTTTCTTGAGTTCCAAAGTCATGGTGTCATCAGAGCAGTTTGGCTGGAGCAGACTCATGAGCAGCACCTCACTGCAGGTCTCCTTGGCAGGGGTGGTCTGGACAGGTGTGGGTGAGGTCTGCAGCCCACCGCCTACGGGGTAGCAGAGGTGGGCAGGTGGACAGTCACTGAGGGCTTGCTGTGCACCGGGCACTAAGTATGTCTATAGTTAGCTACTCTCATCGTCCCCATATTCCGAGGAGGAAAATAGGGCTCTCCCGACCTGGCACACTCACACAGCTGTGAGGTGGTATCACCGCACTGTGGCAACTGACCCAATGGCAGGGCAAAGGAAGGCAGGAGGGCCAGGGAAGGGGGCCGGGTGCTCACCACAACTGCTGGCCTGAAGAGAGATGACACTGGTCAGAGGGAATTCCACAAAGGACGCTACCACACTGGCGTTGAGCTTCCGGGCCTCCCCCAGCAGGCCTTGGGGTGTATCTGGGAGCACGAGGCCACTGATGTTTTCCTTTGGAAAGATCTTGAAGGAGTATTTACCAGTGGCCTAATGACAGGGACAGAGGCAGAGCAGGGAGCCACAGTCAGGGGCACACAGCCTGGCTGGCCTCAGTGCTTCCTTTGCTCCTGCTGTTTCCTCTGCCTGGGCCACCCCCCCTCATCTACTGGCCCCATTTGCCCTTCGATTTAGCATGGAGTTCGCCTCTCTAGGAATTTGCAGGACCCATGGGTTGGATTAAGGGCCTCCCAAAGAGATGATGGAAAGCTTCCTGGAGGAGGTGGCATCTGGATCCCAAGGAACAATAGGTAGTGAACAGAGGAACAGGGTAGGGTGGGAAATATCATCATCACGTGTAAGGGCTCAGGGCTGGGATGCTGGTGCAGGGCCCCTGGGTTCTCTCTTTCGGGAACCTCAGCCAGGCCTGCGGCGGCGGGCTGTCTGGGGCACGGAGCTAGACTCACCCAGATCTGCATATTGTGGTTGGCGTCGATGAGCCAGGACACGTAGGGTGGACCCTGCAGGATGAGCACGGCGTCAGGATCCCCTGAAGTGCAGCTCAGCTCCACCTTCACATTCACTGTCTGGGGCCTGAGGGGAGACAGACCCCGTCAGCGCCGGCGGGAAGGTGGGTTGGGTGGGGCCTGGCGGGGACTGGCCAGGCGGGTCCAAGGCCTGAGACCCGGGTGCAGTGGCGGCCCCACTACCTGGTGGGATGTGGGTGTGCCGAAAGCACGTGGAAACCATCGGGGCTGGGGCTCGTGGGGGCGGGGCCTAGAGATAGGTGGGGCGACTATACTCTCACCTGGCCAGGGGCGGGGCTGAGACGTGAACAGGGAGGGGCTTAATCGGGGAAGGGCGCCGACGGGGCGGGGCCTGGGGCGAGGGCGGACACCTTACCTGGGCTCAGGGCCGGGCAAGATCCTCAGAATGTGCGCCACCTTGTGGCCCGCCACACCTTCCAAGCGGCAGCCTTGGACCGAAGCCCGCGGCTGCCACTCGAGCGTGCGGCCCATGTCCATGTGGGGTTCGGGACTGCAGGAGGACGGTGACCTCGGGGCTGCAGAGACAAGCGCAGCTCAGTCCCCTCCCCGAGCAGCCTGGCGCCTAACACAGAGGCCCACCCTTACCCACTGTGAAGGTGGGTCAGGCAGGATGAAGCAGCCAGGAAGTAGGGGGCATGAGAGGACCTGGGTTCAAATCTCCCCTCTGCCACTTACTGCTGAGTGACTCATGGTAAGTCCCTTGGCCTCTGTTTCCTTATCATCAACACAGGGCTCATACAAGGTATGAACCATGGCACATGTTAGGGGTGAAGCCCTGCAACCACCAACACCTCACCCCATTTGTATCTTTTTTGTAGCATTTTCCATGACCTGAAATGATGTCATTTATTTATCTGTGTACATGTTTATAGTCATCGCCCCACCACAGTGTCAGCTCTAGAAGAGCAGGATCTGGGTCTGTTCCCAGAGTCCCCAAATGCCTAGCGTAGGGCTTGGCACACAGTAGGTGCACAATAAAGAATATGAATGTGCTGTTTTTCTGGGTCAAAAAACTGACAAGTAATAATTTCAAACTAATATTTGGTGAAGAGGTAATTACTGTACCAATAAAGCATTGCCTTGCTCTATGTGGCCTGGGGCAAATCACGTCCCTGCTTGGAGGTCTGGTGCCCACGTCTGAGGAAAGGACCAGAGGAACTCAAATTCCTCCAGTCTTGAGCCCAGAGTGGCTGCTGGAGAAGCTGACCTTGGTCCAGGCGGAGGAGGATGTTTTGGGGGTCGCTCAGCTCAGCGACAGAGGCGATGGCACCCTTTGTATCTGCCCAGTCGAGGAGCTGGCTCTTGGTTAAGCCTGGGAGATGCACGACGTTGACTCCTTGGAGCTCTTGAAAGACATGTTTGGGGTTCTGGGGAGACACAGGGAGGCCTGAGTCCCCTGTCCCAGGCAGGAGGTAATTTGGGGAGGCAGCTGGTTGCCTGAGCGGAGGCAGCCAGGGCTGGGAATGCTGAGGCTGGTGGATCTGAAGTCAGCCCGGGGTCCCCTAACTAGGGTCTCCCCCATCAGAGCCAGATCTGCCCCTTCTCCCTTCCACACCTGGGGGGCTGGACAGACACACATCCATGTTTCTTCACCTGTCCAAAACCATACTCCCCACCCTTCCACTGTCATACTCATTCAACCCACACTTATGACCTCTGTCTGTTTCCCTCACACTCTAAGAGTCTGTGAGGGACAATGTCTGCCTTGCCCATTCCCACATGGTGCTCAACATATAGTAGGCACTGAGGAATATTTGTCTGACTTTGCACCAGGTTCTAGGCCCAGCACTCAGGATCCTGGCATGTCAGCTTCACCCTAATGCCTGGTATATGGAAAAGGAGGAAGGGAGGAGAGAAGAAATGGATGCACAAATGAATGAATGAAAAACAAATAGAGATGGTCTATGTCCTGGGGAATCTTACCATTCAGGCACTAGTCACATATCAAGTCATTTGAAATAAGAGAAGACAGAGGATATTATTTAATAAAAAAAGACAAAGGAGCCCTGGCCAGTTTGGCTCAGAGGTTAGAGTGTCGGCCTGCGGTCCGGAGAGACCCGGGTTCGGTTCCCGCTAAGGGCACATACTTCGGTTGTAGTTTGTCCCCGGCCCTGGTTGGTCGTGCGGGTGGCAGCTACTCGATGTGTCCCTTTCACGTCGATGTTTCTCACTCTCTCTCCCTTCCTCTCTCTCCCTCCCACTCTATCTGTACAAAAAATGGAAAAATATCCTCGGGTGAGGATAAAAAAACAAACAAACAAACAAAAAAAATCAAAGGAGTGCCCTGACCAATGCACAGGTTTGATTCCTGGCACATCCCTGGGTTGCAGGTTCGATGCCCGACCCCAGTTGGGGTGCATGCAGGAGGCAACCAACTGATGTGTTTCTCTCACACGGATATTTCTCTCTCTCTCTCCCTCACCCCTTTCTTCCCTTCCATGCTTTCTAAAAATAATCAATAAAAAAATATCCTTGGCTGAGGTTAAACAAAAAAGGAGCGAGCAGCCCTGGCCGGTTTGGCTCAGCGGTTAGAGCATCGGCCTGCGGTCCGGAGAGACCTGGGTTCGGTTCCCGCTAAGGGCACGTACTTCGGTTGCAGTTTGTCCCCGGCCCTGGTTGGTCGTGCGGTGGCAGCCACTCGATGTGTCCCTTTCACGTCGATGTTTCTCTCTCTCTCTGTCTCTTCCTCTCTCTCCCTCCCACTCTATCTGTACAAATAATGGAAAAATGTCCTCGGGTGAGGATTTAAAAAAAAAAAAAAAAAGGAGCGAGCAAGACAGGTCCTCTGGATGGACAGGAATAGTGGGTGGCTCTAGCACCTCACTGCCCCTACTGCCCATTCCTCAGAGGAGACCCTGGTGGCCCAGGGGGGAGGAAACAGGGAAGACTTCATGGTGGAGGTGCTTTGTTGAAGCCAAAGGATCCAGAGGAAGCTGTTGGAGCCTTGGACTGAGTTCCTGTGCATTCCATCTCCAAAGCCAGGGGCAATGGTGCTGAAGCAGCATAAGGGCTTCAGGCAAGATACTAAGGGGGACTTTCTGACAGTGGAAATAGGCAAGACCCCACAGAATGGTCTGCCTTGAGTGGAGCAGGACTTAAACAAGGCGGCAAAGTGATGAGAACCTGGGTGAGGAGCCAGCCCCGTGAGGGAAGGGCTGGGGCAGTGGTTTAGATCTAGAGGAGGTAGGAGGACCTTTACCTCGCCTGACCCTCGAGTCATGGTCTGCAAAATGGGGATGTAATAGGGATTAAATGCAGGTGTTTGCCATTCACCTGGCACTGGGTCTGGCCCAGTGAGCCCGAGCCCCCAGCCAGGCTGAGGCCCCTCCAGTCACATCTAGGAAGCTGCAGGCCCAGGCTGAGAGAGGCTCTGATGGTGCCCACCCCACCTGGGGTAGTCTTAGCTGCAGGAGGAAGGCATGGCCGAAGCCATAGCCTTTAGTTGCTATGATCTTCCAACTTTCCTGCCGGAGGATACATTTGATGTTCCCTGGGCCCCTAGGGCTCCTGCTGGGCTCAGATTCCCTGCCTGGGCCATCTCCAGAGAGCTTGGAGTGGGAAAGGAGGAGGAGGAGAAGCCATGGCAAGGCCTGGCCCTCCACGGGGCCTCGATCTCCCACGCTGGGAGCAGAGAGATGTATCGAACCGGGTTGGTCCAGCCCCACCCTCCCGAGCTTCTGCCCTCCGGGTCTTTCATGCTACCCCTCTCTGTCTGTCTCTGGGCTGCCAGTCTGGCTTCTTCACCCCTGACCCCCCACAAGTTCTCTGTCTCTGGGCCTGTCCCCAGTCAGCCTGGGTCTGGTTCCATCTTCAGGTCTCCGGCTCCCCTCCCCCAACTCTGCCTCTGGTCTTTCAGTGTCTGTCTGTCCCCCCCACCCGGGCCCTCCTGTTTCCATTTCCATTTTTCTTTCTGTGTCTCTCCCCCTAGTTATCTTTGCTGTCCTCCGTTCCCCCACCCCCACCCTGCTGTCTCTGGCTGTAAACAACAGCTGCTCACATCTGGGGTCACCTCCTAGGGCCTCCCATGTGGAGGAGGCGGCCCCTCGCCCCCTCGGTGAGTCCCCGCCAGTTATCTCCTCTCTTTAAAACTTGAGTTTTTAAAATATAAATGTTCTCCAACGTAGGCCATGTTAATTAGAGCAAGACTTGCAAATTCAACCAAGTGCAAAGAACAAAATAAATGTCTCTCCTAATCCCACTTTCCAGCCATAACTACTGTTAATACATAGTTAGGTTTCCTCCTGACCCTTTTTATCTATACTTAAATATTTTCAGATACATGTCTCGTAACTTTTTCAAAGACAGTGACAAGATTATTTTATGGGATGTCACTGAGTCCTAACAGGTGGGGAAACTGAGGCTATGTGAGAAGATGGCGTCGTTAGCCAGGGTTGGCCACCTTCCTGAATCCCATGTCTGAATTTGAACTCTTTACCCCAGACCCTGAAGCCTTTTGGGTTCTTTGTCAGGGCCCCACGGGATTCAGCAGGCAGGGCCCTTCCAAGGCCTGTGCCTCAGCCTGGGGTTGGAGGCAGCACACTCACGTAGGCCAGGAGGAGTGGGATTCCGGGGGCCTGCAGTCGCAGGAAGACCATCTTGTCTACGCTGAGCACCAGGAGCACCTCTCGGGGCCAGGTGCCATTTTGCTTGGACATCTGGACAGTCAACTTCAGCTCTGACATTTCCTGGGGAGGGGCAAGGAAAGACACACACACACACAGACCAATCAGACTTACATAGACTGTGCCGCTCCCATCATGGATATGACCACCCATATCCCACAGGCTTTCACTCTGCTCTCCCTGCCCGGCCTGTCCACTCCCGCCTCGCAGGGCCCAGCACAGTGTCTGGCCCTCAGGGAGCGCTCAGAGCATATTTGCTGCGTGAATGGAGGAGATTTGTCTCAGCAAGTCCAAAGACATAAAGAAAAAATGTGATGAGCCTGAACTTTATCCAGTGGCCGATCAAGGTTTCTTATTTCTATTGAGCACCTGCTGTGTCCCAGGCCTGCAAGCATCTGTGTGACTCAGAGGGTCCCTTGTGCCTTTTCTCTGTCCAGTAGCGAGGCATCAGCCCCTCCCCAGTTTGCAGTATTCCTGTTGGCCTTACTATTTTAAAGTACTAAAATGCTCGTATTTGGGTTGATATACTACCATTGTTGATATTTTATAAGAATGTGAAGTTGAGATCTTTATATCCTGAGAGATATCTACTGCATTAAAATTTTTAATTGATCACAGTATACATATTTAGAATGCTTCAACAACAACAACAAATAATAATAATAATAATAATAATAATAATGCCTAACACTTATATAGTGCTTACTATGTGCCAGGAATGTTTTAAGGTTTTTATCTATTAGTTCATTTAATCCTCACAACAACCCTAAGAGGTAGGTACTATTATGCTTCTCACTTACAGATGAGGAAACAAGGCACAGAGAGGTGCAATAGTTTGCCCATGAACACACAGCAAATAAGTATGGAGCTTAGGATGTGGACCTTGACAGGCGTCTCCTCTCAATCACTATACTGCCCAGCCACGTTTTTCTATGCCTCCTCATTCTCAAGAAGAAAAAGGAACACAGCGATCCACAAAAGCAAAGCTTCTATTGAGAGAATATCTGCTCTACTCGAGTCTTTCTGAACCAGACGGATGAAAACAGCGGACTGGGACCCGCACTGCAGCCGTCCTCGAGAGCTGGTCCATCTCTACAGGGACAACCTGACCCCAAACGTCTCCTCCGATTTATCAAGGACAAGAGAGAGATTTCAAGATGAAGAGATCAGTGGAAAATTTTTTATTTAACTTCGAATTATCTGTTGGCCATTTCCCCAACTGATGTCACAGAGCCAGACAGAGTATTTCAGCTGCTGGAAAAATCTGCTCAGAAATATTTCCGTTACTCAGTAATGACACCATGACCACTCTTTGTTTGTGAGTTTGCTCTTTAAACAAAAGAGCAAATAATATTCCATCTTCAATGATTCACAAATAACTTTTTTTTTTTATTTTAGTGAGTGATTTTAGGTAGCTTATTTTTGAAGAATTATTTTTATGAGAATTTATAGTAGAATGAGTATTTGAAATTTACGTTTGTCTAAATTCACATTTTTTTGTTAATTAATGTTATCTGATGGGTTTATAACTTTTGGGTTTTGAAATCTCCTTTCATCAATTTTAAAAAATAGCATGCAGTCTAAACACTTTAAAAATTAAATATTGGATTGAATGTCATAGTTCGGTAAAACATGAAATCAAATCTAAGTATCAGTACTGACACTTTGTTCCAGGATTGTGATCATTACTTGAAATGAACAGAAGTGAAGGGAGACTCTCCTCCTTCAGGTCAAGAAAGGCCCGGGCACAGCCAACCGGCCAGAGCCTTTGACGGGGGACGCTCCCAGCTTCCTTACCCTGATTGCCTACGTACCGTCAGCCTGAACAACCGAACACGATTGCAAACTGTCTGCATAGTAACAACCACTCAGCTGCACATGTTAAATGGGCACATTTTATCTCAATAAAGCTGTTGAATACAGAATTGAATATCAGTAATTTCCCGTGGTTCCACCTGTCCCATGCCTGGCCCTGGGCTGAGCATGTGGCTGACGGAAGCAGGGCCAGATGTTCTCCCATTTTTCAGATGCAGTAAGTGAGGCTCGGGGAACTGCCGGTGAGCGGCGAAGTCAGGCACCATACAGGTCAGCCGGCTGCCAGAGTGGCGCCCACAGCCCCCGGACCTTCAGACAGCTCGCCTCGTCTTCTCTATCAAATCTGCCCCATCTGCCTGTCCTCACCCAGAGGAATGAACACTGAGACCCCACACCCCGCAAACAGATGGGCCCCGTGGTTTGGAGATCCAGCCTTTGCCCCTAGGTGGACACCCCCAGGCCGAGAGCAGCTGAGAGCACAGCCCCTGAGATGGGAGGAAAACGCTTGTAAACATCCATTCTCGCTGCTGTTCTTCAAATGTCCCTGTTCCTCGGTTTTTCCATCTGTGAAATGGGTAGGATGGGGTTAGGAACCAATACCAGGTGGGGCTCTGGATAAAGGAAGTCAAAACAGAGAAGTGGAGGTCAGGATCGGGTCATGCTGAGGGAGCGGGGACTAGGAGATGGGAAGCTTTGTCATCACGCTCAGCTCTTTCCCCAGAGCTCACACACCAAACCCTCCACTCGGCTGTACAGGTTCCTCCCTGTAGGTTTGGGGGCTGGAGGGCAGTGGGGGCTGAGACCCAAAGAGGGGCAGTCATGGGCCAGGGCCACACAGCAAGCGAGCAGTGTGGACACGCAGGGACCTGGGAAGTGGGGCTCTCGGAGGCCTCTGAGCTCCTGGGCCTGGCTCAGTCCAGCCGATTACGAGAAAAACCCAGTTCGGGTTTCCACAGCAAACATTCCACCCATGGCCTGACTCATCGACGCAGTCACTCACACGCACGCTGACTTCCCTCATCCCTCCCAGCGGGGAGCCCAAAGGCAAAGAAGGGGGCCTGCTTTGCCTCACCCCCAAGCTCCTAGTCTTCCTCAGGCACCTGGGAATGCTGAGAGCCCAGCGGAGGCGGGCAGGCCAGCCACCCCTTAGCCCCGGCCCTGCAACCTGGGCCAGCCTGGGTCTGCCCGGCCCCCTCCCTGAATGGGTGGGCGGGAGACCGTTTCTATTTTTGTGCCAGTGTCCCACAGATGCCATTGTTGGCCCAGCGGTTGGTGGCGGGAAGGGGGGATTTTGGTGAGGAGGCCCTGAGTACTAGTAGCCACTTATAGAAAGTTGCTTCCAGCAATTCTTCTAGGAGTGGAGCCTCGGGGCAGCCTGCAGCTCCCACCCTCCCAGGGCCAGACTGGAGCCGGCCAGATTGGAGCCAGCCGTCCCTCTGTCCACCCAGCAGATTCACATGGTGCATACAGGCAGGGTGGCCGGGGACGGGGTCAAAGCCAGGCTGACCTGGATTTCAGTGCGGCCTTGGTCATCAGCCCGTGACCCTGGGCAGTCATGTCTCTCTGGGCCTCAGTTTCCTGATCTGAAAAATGGGCTGAACAATATGTCCACATCATAGACTTTTGAGGATTTGGTGAGATTCTGCTTACAAAGTGGGTTGTAGCCCTGGCCGGTTTGGCTCAGCGGTTAGAGTGTCGGCCTGCGGTCCAGAGAGACCCGGGTTCGGTTCCCACTAAGGGCACGTACCTCGGTTGCAGTTTGTCCCCGGCCCTGGTTGGGTCGTGCGGGAGGCAGCCACTCGATGTGTCCCTTTCACGTCGATGTTTCTCTCTCTCTGTCTCTTCCTCTCTCTCCCTCCCACTCTAGCTGAACAAAAAATAGAAAATTGTCCTCGGGTGAGGATAAAAAACAAAACAAAACAAACAAACAAACAAAAAACAAAGTGGGTTGTCCAGTGCCCAGCTAAACACAGAGTGGTAGCCTGCTGCCACCAGCTGATACCCTCCTTGCCCACTCATCCAGAGATGCCATGGTTCTCGGCCTGCGAAGGTCGGCATTAGCGGTGGGCAGCAGGTGGCTGGAACTGGGACATGCCTCAGTCATACCTCACCGTGGCATCTTCTCTCTGAGCCTCAGTCTCCCCATCTGGGGAGGTAGGAGTTGGGATCAGTGCGGCCCTGCATTCCATCCTGCCTCCTGGGGGTTCCAGTGTTTGACATCTGCGGGTGGAAATCTCCAGCCAAGTGGCCAGAAGAGTGAGCTTCCAGCACCCCCAGGAGAGAGATGCTTCTTTCCCTGCTGAGGGCTCCTGGGCAGCCCATGCCCTCCCCACCCCCCACTTCATTTGCCATCCAAGAGGCCAGAACTGGGCCCAGAGAGAAGGACAGAAAGAAGGCACAACTCTGTCCTTCAGGACCTTGGCAGAGAACAAGACTAACGATCCCAAACAACCAATAATGAGCAAGTGACACCACTAACCCCCTGGGAATGGCCAACCAGCAAATGCTGATATGTATGTATATTCTCCTTTCCTTCTTTCCATTATTCCCTCATCCATCCATCCACCCATCCACCCACCCATCCACTATTTACCCCCAGACTGACCTGAGCTGGACATGGACAGGGCAGCGCGAGCAGACCCCATCCCTGCCCAGCCTGTCTGACCCCAAACCACGCCTCTCCACCAAGCCTGTCCTGATATCTGCAAGGGCTGGAACAAGGGTACGAAGGGCAGCCTCCGGCCCCCAGGCCACCCCCTTCTCTTCACACGCACGCATGTGATAGCCCAGCCCAACGCTCAGGCTCTGCCATGCCCACCCCGACAGTCACCTTGACATCCTTCAGGTTGCGGGGAGCTTATGCCAGCCATGCAGTGCCCCCTCTAGAGGATGGAACAAGAAAGAGCCTGATGCCATTCTGGGAGTAGGCTCAGTGCATTTGAGCGGGGATGTCTGGAGTCCCCGGTACCCACAGCTGGAAGAGGGCTAGGGAGGGCCACTAATTGTGGGGCACGGGCAGATCCTCGTTGCCCAGGTCAGGGCACCACTGCCTTCCACAGCCCTTCACAGCCCCCCAGGACATTCTGGGGAACCCAGGCCCCTCCTGCTCGCCCTCTGCTTGAGCGGCCTTGCCGGCTCTCTGGCCAGGAGTAAGTCAGCAAAAGAGCCCAGCAGGGAGGGGTTTGCCCAGAAGTGGGGTGAATCAGTGGCTGCCCCAGCTCTGGCCTGGCTGCCGGGGGTGGTAAGGAGGACAGCAGATCAGTAGTCAGCCTGACAGGAATCGCTGAGACACCAGGCTGGTTTCCTGTCTCTGCGGGTCAGGATGTGACCCTGGGCCCCCTCCCGGAATCCAGGCTCCGGTCTGCCCTTGGGGGACCTAGCAAGATAGAGCCCCAGCCCAGTGGCCCCCTTGTCTGTCTGCAAACCTCCCCAACACACACACACACACACACCCTAAATTCTCTCCCCCGAGGTTCTTGGCTGCCACAGTTCATCTGCCGCCCACGCACAGGAAATCTGAGGATTCAGAGGCCACGCAGGGATGGACGGGAAAGTGTGTCTCTGTGCCAAGGCTTGAAGAAGGGGACCATAGGTTGGAAGTAATTGACTGGTTGCTGAGATGACCGCTACCCACACTACCGCTGTCAGTTCATGCTTCTTGCCTTTAGGACTCGGCTCATGCAGTGCCCTCTGCCTGGAATGCCCCTGACCTCCCTCTCTATCTGGCTGGACACGGGGAGCCGTTTCTCTAAGCCCCTTCCCTCCATATTCAGCGCTTGTCTTCCCGGGTCCACAGCCCCCTCCACTGCGGTCCCCCATTGCCGATTCCATCCCTCAGTACCAGGGCTGCTGACACCCACCTCGGCCTCCCTGGCCTGGGAGTGGCCAAGGGCAGGGGCTGGGTCTGCTTTCTCAGGCTGAGCACAGAGCAGGCACCTGGCGAGGACTGGTTGGGGGGCTGTGGAGCCGGGGACTACATTCTTGGATGCTGTCCGGGGGGAAGGTGCTGCCCAGGGAAACCGCAGGTCCTTTGGTGTCACCGCACTAGGATCTGATGAAATCATGGATCTGACCTTGGGGCAGGGAGGCCAGGAGCACCAGGGGGGCAGAGGGGCTCCATCAGGCTGGACCTCGGTTGCCCCTCTGAAAGCAGATTCACAGCCCTGGCCGGTTTGGCTCAGCCGTTAGAGCGTCGGCCTGAGGACCAGAGAATCCCAGGTTCGGTTCCCGCTAAGGGCATGTACCTCGGTTGCAGTGTGTCCCCGGCCCCGGTTGGGGTCGTGCAGGTGGCGACCACTCGATGTGTCTCTCTCACATTGATGTTTCTCTCTCTCTTCCTCCCTCTCTCCCTCCTGCTGTACCTGAAGATAAATGCAAAAATGTCCTTGGGTGAGGATTAAAAAAACAATGAAAATGGATTCACAGCCCCTGCCTCAGCTACCTGATAGCAATAACCTTTGGGAATCAGATTAATTCACTGATGTGAGGACCTTCTGTAAACTGCAGCATGTCCGGCAAAATGAGGGTGTTTACGGGTGACACCTGGAGCCCAGAGAGGAGCCGTTATAATAACACCAAGCATGGCTCCTGGGTGTCAAGCAGCGGCTCGGGAAGGCCGGCACGCACTGTCCCAGGGGATTCTCACAGCCCCTGAGAGGTGGGGACTGCCGTCTCCAGATTTCCCACGGGAACATCAAGGCTTGGACAGGCGGCCCAAGGTCGTGCAGCCAAGTTGAAGTCAAAGGCTGTCTGGCTCCAGAGCCCATGTTCTTAACCCCTGCATCAAGGTCACATAGCAGTGCAGTTATTTCTTCATTCATTCATTTACTCATACATTCATTCATTCATTGACTCACTAATACATTCAACAGTTATTTGGCATATGCCAGGGCCCGGCCCAGATTCTGAAACTCTGTAGTTCTTCAGCGAATCCCTGAGCACAGAAATGTGTGTCTATTGGGGAGTGGGGAGAAGGAGCCCCCTCCACATGCCAGGCACTGTATGAGGTGCTGGCCAGGGACAGACCCAGGGCTGGAGCCCCGGCCTCTTGAATCCCAGCTCTCTCCTCCACCCCCTCGAACAAACATGCCTGGCGGCCCTGGAGCCTGCAGCCTGGCTCCTTGAATCAAAAACCAGATGCTAAAAACAAAAGCCAGATGCTCCATGCACTGGGTTCTCTGGAAGAGGCAGAAAGTGACAGGGAGATTCTGTTGTCATGAGCTGTAGGATGACATGAGTTACCGCAGCACCCTGCTATTCCCCTGAAGCCCCTCAATGACTGTCACTGCCCACAGGATGAAGACCAGACTCCTTAATATGACAACAGGTCCTTTTCCATCTGCCCAGCCCTGCCCCGAGGTGAACGACAGCTACTGCCCCGGGGAACCCCACGCTGACCCAGCCACGGCCACCTCCCTGCCAAGCATGCCCCCTCCACCGCCTGCACACAGTGAGCTCCAGCACGTCACTGTTGTTGCTTCCTCCAGGAAGCCCTGTCCAATCCCACAGCCCTGCGCTGACCAAGGAAGCATCCGTCACCTGGACCCTGGCTGTCTGTCCAGACACCTGCCTCCACAGACCTGGCTGCCTGGCAGGGGGCCTGTGGCTCACTGGCTCACTGTGGAGGATTAGGGTGGGGGGCCCGGTCACAGCGGAGGCACAGCGACCTGAACGTCAGAACAACCAACGTGGACGTACAGAGGCCAATCGTAGTTTCCACATCATCACCAAACTTGAAAAAATTACAATGGCTTTGAAAACCACATGACGTTTGTTCGGCACTATCTGCGGTTTGGGGGTTATCGAGGCCCACAGTCCTCGTGGCGGGCAGGGTGGTGGGGAGCAGGCCCCTCGATATTGGTGGTCCGGGCACTGTCTTATCTCTGCACAAACACGGGACAACCTAACAGCTTCGGGGGCAAGTTGGCCACAAGTTTACCCTGAGCTGACACCATTAAATCGCTATCAGGACCTGGGGCCGCATCAGCCAGGTGTGGTCACCAGCCGAAGCGGGCCAGACGACGCCTGAACACTGCGGTCCTCTGGGGAACCAGGTGACAGCCTGGCTTGGAGTTCCTGGGGATCCGGTGTGAACTCTGGCCTTGGACATGTTGCTTCACCTTTCTAGGCCTGCCTCAGCTTCCTCCTCTGAAAAGTGGGGTTAATAACAGGCCCTGCCAGATGGGCCCTTGGGAGGCTTGCTACATGCTAAGATCTTAAACTCACTTCCTGGTGCATAGCAGGCCTAGCACAGCACCTAACACAGAGTAAGCACCTGCTACATGTGTTAGAAAGAGGGACATAGAAAAACTAACTGGTGGACCTTAGGGGGCCTCGGGGTCGGCGGGGCAGGGAGAAGTCTCTGAGGCTGGCATTGCTGGCTCCCAGTCTTCAAGCGGCTGCTTGCCAGGCCACAGAAGGGCACCAGTGAGGGAGATTTGGCTCCCTCAGGGAAGAACTTTTTCGAAGTCAAGGCTGCCTACCACAGGACCGTGTTTGCTGAGAAGCTCCCTGTCACTGGCGACACGTGAACAGCGGCTCCCCTGGCCCGCTCCACCGCCTGCCCGGCTCTTCTCCACTCGGCCGCTGGCCGACCCAGCCCTTCCCGCCTGGGTCTGGTGGTGACACCCAAAGGATGGCCCCCGCGCTGGCCCCAGAATGCCATCCTTTACAGGCCCTGGGAGATGCTCAGGTCACCCTCCTGGCAGGCTCCCTGATGCAGACTCAGCCCACTGCTCCAGGGACAGCCGCAAAGACTGCCCTCATCCCACAGGCCCTCGCCCTACCTCTGAGTCCCTCCCGGCCCGACCCTGCCATCGAGCACTTACCCTCGAGAACTCCAGGAAGAGGATGTGAACTTCGACGGTGGCATTGGAGACCTGAGCCACGCAGCCCTTAGAAACCTGGTTTATGCTGTATGTCACCTCGAGGTCCACAGGCTGTAGATCACAATGGACTGTTTCTGCAAGGCCTGTTAGGGAAGCACAGCCAGAGGGCCAGGTAAGGACAAGGCGGTGCCATTTGCTCCCACTCTGAATGCCTGCTGGGTGCTTGGCACTGGCTGAGGGCTTTATTGTATCTTCACAGCTACCCTCCAAGGTGGATATCATTCTACCCACTCCACTGGGGCTCAGAAAGGAATCTGCCTGAAGTCACAGTGCTGCTAGGTATAAGGTTGATAGAGAAAATGTGGGGCACCCAGTTAAATTTGAGTAAGTATGTCCGGCCGGTGTGGCTCAGTGGTTGAGCATCAGCCCATGCACCAAGAGGTTGCTGGTTCGATTCCCTGTCAGGGCACATGCCCACGTTGTGGGCCCATCCCCAGTGAGGGGCATGCGGGAGGCGGCCAATCGATGTTCTCTCTCATGGATGTTTCTATCTCTCTCTTCCTCTCTCTCTAAAAATCAATAAAGAAAAAAAATTTGAGTAAGTAAACAATGAATAATGTTTAAAGTATAAGTATATTCCAACTATTGCATGGGACATACTTATACTAATTTTTTTTTTCATTGTTTATCTGAAATTCAAATTGAACTGGACATCCTATATTTGACAACTGGCGACCCTGACGGTGTGACCGGGCCCACGCGTTCAGACACCCAAGCCCGGGGGCTGCTTCGCTCCAAAGGAGGGTGAGAGCTGAGATCAGAAGACGAAACTGCCCCTCTTGGGCCTCAAGCAGGCCAGGCCGGCCGGCCGAGGAGAGCTGAGTCTCCTGGTCCCCAGGGGCAGAGCGAGCGGAGGGCCCAGGTCTGCAGGGCTGTCGTGGCTGGAGCCGGAAGTGCGGGTCCCCAGGGAAGGGACTGGAATTTCACCCTGACCCAGCCAGGAGGAAGAGGAAATGAGGCCCCTACACCTCGACCTCAGGAATGTGCCGGGAGGAAGGGGGGCTCCGGAGGAGGGAAGGACGACCGAGAAGGGGAGACTGTTTGGAAGTTTGTGTCTCCATCTTGTCGCGCTCACTTCCTGTTTTCTTGGAGATCAAAGTTGGGCGAGGAGGGCCTGGTCGCACGTCCAGCCGACGCCAGCTCGGAGCAGGGGGGTAGGAAGGCTTCTTCTGAATCTCGGGCTATTGGGCCGCCTCTGGCCTACCCCGGCCTTCTTCCCACCTACCCGCCGCCCTGTTGGGCTCAGGTCCACTGGAGGTCAGGGAAGGACGTCAGATGGCTGTCCCAGCCGCGAAACAACATCTACCCGCAGCGTCTTGGGAGGGATAAGTCCAGGACAAGGACGTTGGCCACCGTGGGGGCCTCGGCCTTACGAGTCCTTGCCCTGGACCTGTCCTGTGTGCTAGAGACTCCAGAATGTCTGGGCAATATGGCATTTTGGTTAAAAGCCGAGTCCCTGAAACCTGGGTTTGAATCTCAGGCCCAACACTTACTAGCTGTGTGGCTTTGGTGAACGGTGTCACCAGCTCGGGCTTTCATTTCCTTGTCTGTAAGAGGACAGTAAAAGCAGGACACACACCGCAGGGTGTGAAGAGGGTTCCCTGAGTTCTTTCGATCACATTTATTTGATGGACCTCAGTCATTGGAGAAGAATTGGCCGGTGAGGGGCAGTGAAGTGTGGGATGGGCAGCCTGCAGGTGAGGGACCCTGAGAGGGTCTGATGTCTTAGGCCAGTCAAGTCCCTCACCCCAGTAGACTCAACGGCCGGCAATGTCTCCTCCTGTCCACCCCCTAGTGACCCACCAAGCCCCTCAGAGCTCCCCACCTTCTCCCTTTCCCTGTCAGTGAACACACACTTCTTGGCTGTTACCTAGTCCAAGCACCCCCTCTACAGATGGGGAGACTGAGGCCCGGAGAGGCTAAAAGTGCCAGATCGCACTGCACCAGGCTCACCGGGCTGGGCTCGGACCCACCTCTCCCCGTATGACCCAGGGTCTGGCCTGCAGATTAGCACAACGCCTTCCTCCTTCCTTTCGGACTTCCCCTGCCCCCTCCCCAGACTTCCAGGAACCCCAGTTCCTCTCAGATTGCCTGTTGCGATGGCTGGGGCCGGGCCACCTCCTCCATGCCCTCAGATGCATGACCATTATGTAATGATCAGATAACAGGCCAGGCTGGGAGATCAGATAAGAGGCCCATTTATTTTGGGGCCGTTTCGAGTCGCGGCCGCCCCACGCTGCAGACGAGAATGGGGAGACAGGAGGGAGTGTGACGCCCCAGCCTGTCTCCTGGAGCCGGAGGCGGGCCCAGACAGAGCTGAAAACAATCCCTGGCACCAAGGGAAACTCCAGGGCCTCCTGGGACCTGAGCTGGAGGCGACGTCACTGGGGTCTGGGTGACCAGGAGCTGCCTTCCCACCTCTGTGCCTCTTCTTCCTCCTCCCGGACCGACAAGCATGGATATCTGTGGTCCCTGACCCACAGGCTTTCCAGAGGGCCACTCCTAGAACCGTGCAAGGCCACAGATGATAATGGTCAAGAAAAGTACCTCTGGAGTCAAATCCCAGTTCTGACTCTTTTTCAAAAATTTTCTTTCTTTCTTTCTTTCTTTCTTTCTTTCTTTCTTTCTTTCTTTCTTTCTTTCTTTCTTTCTTATCCTCATCCGAGGATATTTTTGCATTTATCTTCAGACAGAGTGGGAAGGAGAGAGAGGAGAGAGAGACACATTGATTGGTTGCCACCGGCACGACCCCAACCGGGGCGGAGATGAACCGAAACCAAGGTACACGCCCTTAGCAGGAACCGAACCCAGGACTCTCTGGTCTACGGGCCGACACTCTAAATGCTGAGCCAAACCAGCCAGGGCATTCTTTACTGATTTGAGAGAGAGAGAAAGAGAGAGATAGAAACATCAATTGGCTGCCTCCTGCATGCTTCCCACCAAGGATTTGGCCCACAACCTGGGCATGTGTCCTGACCGGGAATCAAACCAGCGACCTCTTGGTGCATGGGTCGATGCTCAACCACTGAGCCACACCGACCAGGCCCAGTTCTGACTCTTAAAAAGCTGGTCACCTTGAGCAAAAGTCTAACTGCTCCGAGCCTCGGTTTCCCCATTTGCAAACTATTTCCATCATGCTCACTGGGATCAGGTGCTGTTCGAGGCTGTACATGAGCTCATTCATTTGATCCTCGCAGCAACCTACGAAGTGGGTACTGTTAATATAACCATTTGACACATGAATAAGCTGAAGTTCAGGAAGGTGCAAGAATTAGCCTGAGGTTACCCAGTTCTAAGTGGCAGGGCCTGTCTTTGAACCCAGACAGTCCAGCTCCAGCACCCAGCAGCTCCTTCGCAGGCTGGGTGTCAGCCTGGTGAGGTAACCCATGTAAAGCGCCCATGGTAAGTGTTCTGTGATTATTTTATATTAACCAGGGCAGATCCTGACAGGTTTCCCAGCTCCTAGCCCAACCACTCGCCCTGGACCTGGCCACCAGCAAGGCCTCAGCTCTCCTTTCCCCGGTCTTTTTCATAATTCCCCAATGCCTTCAGGGTCACCACACTCCCCAGCCTAGAGTGGAGTTAAAAAGTACGGGGATCTGCCCGGCTGGTGTGGCTCAGTGGTTGAGCGTCACTGGTTCGATTCCTGGAAAGGGCACATGCCCAGGTTGTGGGCCTGATCCTCAGTGAGAGACATGCAGGAGGTGGCCAACCGATGTTCTCTCTCATCGATGTTTCTATCTCTCTCTCCCTGTCCCTTCCTCTCTCCCTAAGATCAATAAAGAAAATAAAAGTACAGGGATCTGATAGATGCCAAAGGTTCAAATCCTGATTCTGCCACCTTCCAGCTTCCCTTCCATGGCTCAGTGTTGTTATCTGTAAAATGAGGACGATGACCAACATAATACCTTCCTCATGGAGTTGGTGAGAATGCTGGTAAGATGATACGTGCACAGTGCTAACTAAGCAGGTTTCTGATTCATGAGGGTCGCTCAGGAACTGGCAACTGCTGTCACAATTATTTATGCCCAGTCAGTGGGGAGACTGAGCTTTGCCTTCAAACAGACCTTGTTCATTGCTTCTGCCATGCCCTTTCCCAGAGCAATGGTCTTCCTTCATTTGACCACTTAGTCAACTTCTATTCATCCTTCAAAACCTTGTTGTGGCCCTGGCTGGTTCGGTTCAGCAGTTAGAGCCTCAGCCCATGGACCAAGAGTCCTGGGTTCAATACTGGCCAAGGGCACGTACCTCAGTTGCGGTTCGTCCCCAGCTCTGGTCGGGGTCGTACAGGAGGCAACCAGTCGATGTGTCCCTCTCATGTCAATGTTTCTCTCTCCCTTCCTTCCTCCCACTCTATCTGAAGATAAAATAGAAAAATATCCTCCGATGAGGATTAAAAAAACCCAAAAAACCTTGTTTGAAAATCTTCTCATCAGAACTGATCCAGTTGTGTCCTAGGTGGGAGGGCCACTGTCGGCGCAGGAAAGGGACCAAATGCCCAGGGTGAGATCTGACAGCAGGGAGATCCTCGTCCCCTGCCCTGGGGCAGTATGGTGCAGTGGTTAGGCCCAGGCCTCAGGCCCAGCTGCTCATATCTGGGCTGGCAAATACCTTCACCGGCCTGTGCCCCAGGCTCCTCATCTGTAAAATGAGGGTGACAGGAGTGTCTGCTTCATCAGGCTTTTGTGAACTTGAGTCTGAGAGCACATGGGACCTGTCTAGGGCAGCGTCTGGCACACAGTAAGCACTGAATCGGTGTTAGCTGTTACATTTGTCTCCTCCCCCACCCTTATCCCAGGTACTGAAGTCAGCTCAGCCCTGGATGAGGGTCCTTTGCAGCCTCCAGGGTTGATGCCCCCAAGCCTGGGCTGGAGCTAGGAAGAGATGGCCCAGTGCCAGGGCAGTCAGCTCTCCAGGCCACCAAAGGTGCAGAGAAAAGGGAGCAGACAGTCTGGCACTGAAATCTAGACCTGTCACTTGTCCTGAGCCTCTATTTCCTCATCTGTAAACTGGGTCTGATTCCCACTCAGGCCCTTGAGCAAAAAGACGAGACCTATCCTCAGAGGGCCCAGCACTGACCCACGAGGGGTGCTCAGGAACTGGCAACTGCTGTCACGATTAGTTACTGTGGCCTTGAGGGGTGGGTCTCTCCGTCCGTCTGGGTCTTAGTGTCACTCTCTGGCTGAGATGAGAGAATCATTTTTCTTTCTTTCTTTTTTGTTTTTGTCTTAGAAAGTCTATTTCTCCTCTTTGTCCCCCCAATTTTTATTAATTTATTTTTATTTCTCAACCTCCCGCCCTCGCCTTTTCTTCTTTTCTTTTTTTTTGTTAATCCTCAACCAAGGATATTTTTCCATTGATTTTTAGATAGAGTAGAAGGGAGAGAGGGAGAGACAGAGAAAAAAACATGTGAGAAAGACACCTCAATTGGTTGCCTCCCGCACAACCCTGATCAGGGCAGAAGAATCAAACCTGTAACCCGCTATGTGACCCTTTGGTCCTCGGACCAATGTTCAATTGCTGAGCCAAACCAGCCAGGGCTGAGAATCTTCAAGGCCATATCCCCACTGGCTCCAGGGACCCAACTTCTCACTCACACAGCTCCTGCTCCAACCTCTTTTTCCTCCTGGCAAATTGAACCTGTCTGCCCTGGCCCACCCTGGTCAGTGTGGCTCAGTTGGCTGGAGCATCATCCTGTGCACCAAACGGTCTCAGGTTAGATTCCTGGTCAGGGCACATACCCACGTAGCGGGGTCTATCCCAGGTCAGGGCACGTACAGGAGGCAACCGATCAATGCGTCTCACGTCTCACTCACGCCTATGTTCTCTCTCTCTCTCTTCCTCTCTCTCTCATCTCAATAAAAAAAAAATCCTCAGGCGAGGATAAAAAATAAATTAATAAATAAATAAAAAGGGAAGCTGCCCAGAATGCAGCCTCTAGGACACTGATGTTTGGGGTCTCAGTCTTGTGTCTCTGCTGAGAGTCCCAGGCCCCACACGGGTGGCCAGCAGCACAGGGACTCCTCACGCGTCTGGCCCGTCCTCCAGTGACCGCTCATCCACGCTTAGGAAACTCTTTGATCCCAGCCACCCAACACGGGCCATGAATTCCAGCACCCCCACTTCTGGGACTCTATCCAAGTGAAATACTACAAAACACAGGAAAAGGTGCATGTACCAAAAATGCGCACGGAGGTGGTATTTATAATTAGCCCCAAAGGGGAAACCACCGAAATATTCAACAATAGGGAATGTATTAAGCACATGATGGAGGGCACATCTAAGGGAGAGAATATTCCAGAACCACAACGGGATGGTTATGGAGTCCACTTGACAATATAGAAACCTCTGGGCCATAGAAGTTTACACAAGGCACCCACATGGTAGTCCACCTGCATTAAAATGACCTTGAAAAGCTAGAGAAAGACTAGTAAGCAATCCGCCGGCATGCTACACATTTTTTCCCATTATTTATTTTCTCTGAGGAGCGAACTGCAGTGAACATATAATCAAATTGCTTTTAAAAAATCTCTGCATGTTTGTCCTTTCAAAAAATTCCAACATGACAAAAACACATGTCTTAGAAAATCCTGATGCTAGAGAGCAGCGCAGTGACCTCAGGATTTTTTTTTTTTTGGTGTGTGCCCCTAGCGGGAGCCGAACCCGGAACTCTCTGGTCTACAGGCCGACACTCCAACCGCTGAGCCAAACCAGCTGGGGACTCAGGATTTTCTGTGCATATTGTGCATTATCACTGCGTTAGTCTTTTTTTTTTTTTTTTTTTTTTAACATATTTGTGTTGATTTCTTTTAGTGAAAGAGAAATATCAAGGTGAGCAGAAACATAGATCGGCTGCCTCCTGCACGCCCCCCACAAGTGGGGATCGAGCCGGGGCATGTTCCCTGACAGCGAATCAAACCGGCGACCTCTTGGTGCGTGGGCTGATACTCAGCCACTGAGCCACACCAGCTGGGCCTGCTTTATTCTTAGAGAAAGGAATCATTGCTGTTTGGGCACCTAACAGTGTGTTCCAGATGTCTGCCCATAGCAGTGTAGACATAGATCTAGCTTTTTCTCCATAACGTCTGCATGATATTCCACTGCATAAGAATTCATTTAATGAGGCCCCGGCTGATGGACAGTTGGATGGTCTCCAGTTGTTGGGCGTTTTTTATTTTTTATCCTCACCAGAGGACATTTTCCCATTTTTTGTTCAGACAGGGGTGGGGGGGGAGAAACATCGACATGAAAGGTACACATCAAGTGGCTGCCACCCGCACGACCCAACCAGGGCCGGGGACAAACTGCAACCGAAGCACGTGCCCTTAGCGGGAATCGAACCCGGGTCTCTCTGGACTGCAGGCCGACACTCTAACCAAACCGGCGAGGGACAGTTGTTGGGTTTTTGTTACAGCTACCTGGGCACTGTACATCTTTATAGAGCTGGGAAAGTAACTCTCTAGGTCTGACTTACACATTATAGTTGTTTAAAAAAAAAATTTTTTTTCTTTATTGATTTTAGAGAGAGGAAGGGAGAAGGAGAGATAGAAATATCGATGAGAGAGAACATTGACTAGCTGCCTCCTGCATGCCCCCCCCCCCAACTGGGGATCGAGCCCACAACCTGGGCATGTGCCCTGACTGGGAATTGAACCAGAGACCTCTTGGTGCATGGATTGATGCTCAACCACCGAGCACACCAGCCAGGCACATTATAATTTTTGAGAGATTCTGCCAAGCTGTGTTCCCAGAAGGCTGGACCTGGCTCTAGACCCATTTACACGACTCCAGCCTGAATGAGAATGCTTGGCCCCAGCCCAGCATGGAGACCTGGGTTCCGGCCCTTGGCCAGGTCCCCATCTGCCCTCCACAGGCCTCAGTTTCCCAGACTATAAGTGAGTTGGGCTGGAAGGTTAGGGTTGCCCTGGAAGCTTATGAGCACGAAGTGCTAGTACCTGCTCGAGGGAGCAGATTGATAAATCATCAGTTTTCCAACTGGTTGTTAAACAAAGCCATTATTAAAAATCAAACTTTATAAGCTTACAACGAAATGTATTGTATTTTTTAAAAGGTAATACATATTGCCCGGCTGGTGTGGCTCAGTGGTTGAGCATCGACCCATGTACCAAGAGGTCACCGGTTCGATTCCCAGTCAGGGCACATGCCTGGGTTGCAGGCTCGAGCGTGCGGGAGGCAGCTGATCAATGTTTCTCTCCCATCGATGTTCTATCTCTCTCTCCCTCTCCCTTCCTCACTCTCTAAAAATCAATAAAATCATATAAAAAAAAAAGGTAATACATACCAAATTTCTTCCTTCCTAATTATTTTACTCCATTTCACTGTTCCCTGTGCTTTGGGGTCATCTACATCTGTCGTATGTGTGTGATGGAAATACAAGTGTGGCGAGCTGGGTAGCTCAACAGCCATGTGGGAACGTTTACACCCCGAAAGTTAACAAACGCTACCCCTACTCCTGACCCCTATTGTTAATTATTTGCCAGCACACCACTGCCTTTGATCCTATTAAACCAGACCTAAAGATCTGCACGGATCTTTCTCTGACAACCAAGAGCAAGAGAGTGTTACGAAGCTTGAAATGTGGGGGCTGCGGGAGAAAGGCGGGGCAGCTCAGGTAGGGCTCCTATGGAGCTGTGTGAACCTGGTGGGCCACCGCCTCCACTTCCCTCCTGTAAAATGGGGCGACCGGGGCAGCCATCTTGCAGGGTGATCAGGAGCTGTATTAAGAGAGGTTGCTGTATCGCCCTGGTTAGGAGCAAGGGCTCCAGGGAGCCACAGGCCTGGGGTCAAATCACTGCGGAGTCACTCCGGTTCCTGTCTATCAGTGAGGCAGAGGTAAGAACTCTAATCCTCACCCAAGGCTATGTTTTTATTGACTTTAGAGAGAGAGGAAGGGAGAGGGAGAGAGAGAGAGTCGATGTGAGAGAGAAACATGGATCGGTTGCCTCCTGTACATGCCCCAACCGGAGATCAAACCCACAACCTGCATATGTGCCCTGACCGGGAATCAAACCCGTGATGCATGGGACGACGCTCCAACCAACAGAGCCGCACAGGCCAGGGCAGTCGGGCCAGGGCAGTCGTAAGTACTTTACAGACCAAGGATTAGGGACTTAAATGCTGTGGGGTGGGGCAGGCGGGTGGGGACGCGGCTGCTCCATCTCGCCACCCAGGTTCTGTAGGCAGTTGCACGGGTGCGCCACGGCTGCAGGGGTGTCCACAGCGAGGCCACAGGAAGTGGGATGAGGAGCTGCGAGTCCTCGGCTCCCATGGCCCCTCCTCTGGTCAGCTTTCGGAGGCCATGACCCCCTGGAAAAGCCCCCAGAAGCCCTAGCCTGGCACTGCGCCCCCATCCAGCAGGCTTCTTGGGGAGTAGAGCAGGGGTAGCGGCCTAGGAGAGCCCTCTGTTCAGAAGGGGTCTGAGAGCCCGGCCAGTGTGGCTCCGCGGTTGAGCGTCGTCCTATGGCCAGAAGGGGTCTGGGGGCCACTCACAGGCCCCAGGAAAGTGAGGGTGGAGGATTTAAGACTAATCATGTAACAACACAGAGGCAGCCGGCCTGCCTGAGAGATCTCTCTGCAGCACTGCCTCAACACGGACCTCCCCAGCAGCACGAGATGTCTGTCACCATCCCTGCTTCGCTCAGAGGCCAGAGGTCGCTCCCCAAGATCACACCCCAAGGAAGTAACACCGCCTAAGCCCATTCCAAACATGAAGTCTTGTGCCCTGCTTCCCACACATTCCTCAGATGGGAAACTTAAGGCCCAGAGAGGGCAGGAGACTCTCAGAGGGCTGCACAGCATTCTGGGACCTGGGCTTCCTGGGGAGAGCTGGGAGGCCAGAGGCCAGAGACCAGGGTTAGGGCAAATAACTCATCTCTGTTTGCCTGAGACTCTAGAGTTGAAAGTTATTGGTCCTGCCAAACGGGGATGGTTGCTCACCCTATGGCATCTGCCTTGGGCTGTCCAAACCTCTCCCCCCCTCGCCCCCCGCCGGACAGCTTCACTGTACATGAGCTCAGGACACAAGGAGCCCGGTCTTCCCACCCTGGGTCCCTGGACACCTACTTGCGGGGCTGAGGCAGCAGACGGCCAGCAGCAGGGCCACGACCGGGTAGAGTGTGCTGTGGTCCATGCTGTCCACCCGGGAGTCTGTTCGCTGGGCCTTATCCGGTGTCCAGAGGCAGGGCTGCGGGCAGGAGCAGGGGCCGGCGTGGGCTCAAGTGGAGACCCAAGGGGAGCAGGCGGCCGGAACGGCGGCGTCCCTGCTCCAGCCTTCTAAGGTGGCGGCCAAGTTGGTCAGGAGAAGTGGGCACAGGGCACAGGGCACAGGGCCCGGCTGGGGATCTCTGGCTGAGGGATGAGCGGGCAGGGGGTGCTGGGCTTCTGTGGACGGCGGCAATCCGGGCTGCCGATGGAGGTCCGGGTATGACCGTCAGCGGTGGGGAGCTCCTGGCTCATCCAGCCAGGCCAGGGAGGCAGGAAATGCGCTTCCTTAGAGAAGGGGCTGGGCCAGGCGGCCTGCCAGGCGGGAGAGGAAGTGCCACTGAGCTTTGTCGCTGGGTGGGGGGCCCTGGGGAGGGGGGAGGCAGTGCAGTGGGGAGGGCCTAGGCTCCAGGCTTGTCTCCCTATGCACCCCACCCTCCCATCCCACCCTTTGCAGGGCTGGCTGGCAGCCCCTGGGGGCAGATGAAAACAATCAACCTAACAGCCCACCAAGGGGCCCTTTCAGGAGTCAGGCCCTGGCCAAGGCCGGCAATGTGAAGCTCACAACCCCGTGAAGTCAGTGTTCCCATTTTGCAGATGAAGAAGCAGAGGTCTGGTGAAGTGAGCTAACTGGCCCAAAAAGACAGTGGAGTTGGGATTTGAACACGTCTCATTGGGTACCAAAGCTGGCTCACATAGCATGACACTGGCTTGAGTCATTTCCTTGTTTTTCAGAAAGAGAAACTGAGGCCCAGCATGGCACATGGCACAGCATGGCAGCTGGGACTGAAGTTTTAGGGCCCAGAGAGAACAGGGAACCTGCCCCCAGATATACACTTTGTATCTGCCCCCTCATGGGCGGAAAATCCTTCAGAGACATAAGACAGGCCCAAATGAAAGGAGGGGACACTTTAATGGCATTTCTGAAGTCAGATGGCCCTGGGTTCAAAACCCTGCCCTGCTTAGCCTGAGCTATGAGACGTTGAACAAGTCCTCTCAACTCTCAGTCACCTGTTTGTAAAGTGGGCACAATGCACGGTGCCTTCCCAGGTTCAGGGAGCCCTGATGGGCGAGCACTTCCTGTGAGCTTTCCCGAGGCCCCGGCACTACATCGCTGAGCCTTAGGCCCAGCACACAGGAAGTGCTCACCCATCAGGGCTCCCTGAACCTGGGAGACAATCCCAGAATGCCCCTTGTTCGTTCTGCAAACAGTACGTGCCAATTATGTGTCCATCATGATACTGGCTATGGGTAGCAGCTAGGGTCAGACCCAAGGGAGCTCAGAGGAGGAAGCCTGGGCTGCCTGGAGGAGGTGGCATTTAGGCCTGGACTTTGAAAGACTGGGTGAGTGGAGGTGGGGTGGAAGGAAGAGGTGAGGAGGACAAGCAGGTGTGTGGTGGGGACAGGAAGCCTGGAGGGGCAGACTCTGGCCCTGCTTTGGGAGGTGGGCCTTGGGGACTTTACCCTGATAGGCCACTGGGAGTCATGGAGGGTAATGGAGCAGATGGTACTGGCAGAGCTGGGCTTTGAGAAGACAAATTTTGAGGTGTGCTGGCAGGACCCACAGAGGGGATGGAGCCAGGGGGCTTTCTCTTTCTACTTGTCCTGAGTCACAGCTGGAGAGATGGAGGCCCAGGGAGGGAAGAGAAGGCAGGAGGCCGGGTGGCTGGAGGGAGCGGAGCAGAGAGCTGCCTCTGCAGGACTCGCAGCGGGGAGGGTGGGTGTGGCTCCTTGGGGGGAGTGGAGGAAGGCTCGCCTGCGGCCCTGGCCCTGCCGCTGCCCTGCTGGTTCCTGGTCACAGGAGACCTGACCTTGCCCAGCAGGCCGGGAGGCAGGCCAGGGTGGAGGGAGTCACCTGAATGCAGCAGGTTCCTTGCCTTTGCCATGGGTGCAGAGGTGGGGAGATGGGCACCACAAGGCAGAGGGTGGCCTTAGTGAATAACAACAGGGGTGTCCCCAGGCCCCAACCAGGGACAGTTAATCCAGCCCCAGGAGCTGAACTCTCCCTGTGTGCCAGGCCCGCCCTAGGCGTTACCTTATCAGCTCTGAATTCTCACAGCCCTGGGGGCCGTGCCATTAAACCACTTAGAGGAGGAACCCAAGGCCCAAGGCCCGAGAAAATGAGACCCCTGGGTGGAAGTAGAGACTCCAGGGCGGCCGCGCTCCAAGCTCACCTCCTTCCCCGCCACTACCACGAGTTGACTGTGAGGACAGATGTCACAGGGCTGTGGGAGTCACAGGATGAGGGGGATTGTTGTCCAGAGTGGGTGTCGGGGCACCTGGAGCAGAGGAAGCTCTTCTCCAACCTCCTCCCTCCCGCTTCCCCCACACTGAATAATCCATCCCCACCCATGTTATAAACAGGGCCATTGGATTCTCCAGCAAGCAGGAGAGGCTGCAGATGGACATGCGGAAGAACTTTCTGGAAACGTCCAGAGAAAGAAAAATCTACAGGAGCCACAGGAGAGCCTGGACCTGCTCCCAGAAACCGGAGGAGTGAGGAAGAGGTTGGGGGTCCAGGGGTGGAGAAGAGGAGGTCACCCACACAACCCGGCCTGGGTGGGGTCATGCCGAGTCTCTTCACTCAACCAGAAGCCCCTCAAGGGCAGGCACTTCGATGCTTCTGCACTGCTGTGTCCCCAGCCCAGGATCGTTTGACCCTCGAGATATATATATATATGTATATTTTTTTTGGTACATGCCCCTAACTGGAACCGAACCCGGGACTCTCTGGTCCGCAGGCCGAAGCTCCAACCGATGAGCCAAATCGGCCAGGGCTCGAGATATATTTATTGAAAGCATGAAGTGCCCTGGAAGGTAAGGCAGGGGCAGGGCCCATGGAGGCATGGGGAAACTGAGGCACAGAGAAGTAGGTCTTACTCCTGTTCCCCAGTGGAAGAGGCCAGTTCCCAGACTGGATCGCCAGTCCCCAGAAAGCTTGACGGTCAGTGGTCTCGCAGCTGGGGACAGACCTTGAGGTATTCTCTTCCGCTGCCCCCTAGCTGCACTCTCTCTCCTGACGGACACATCTGCCTCTCCCAGCACCCTCAGCCCTGCACGGATCAGAGAGAGGGAGGAGGAAGAGCAGGAGGAGGAGGAGGAGGAGGATTCATTCTTCTGGCCCCTTCCCGGCAGGGTCACTGCAAATTGGTGGCCTCCCTCCACTGAAGGCCACAGCCCCGACCCAGCCCTCTCCACACGGCCCTTCAGGCTGAGCACGGCCGTGGCCCCGCTGCGGCCAGCCCTGGGGCTCAGCACTGTCCCTGTGGTTTGCCTGCACCCTGCCCACACCTGTGTAAACAGACCCTTTAGGAACCTCTCCTGAGCCCAGTGGAGCGTGCCATCTGTTTCCTGCTGGGGCTCTGACTGACACAGATGCTTTCAGGGGCCGCCTACCCACACGCCAAAGAGACATGTGACCACTGGCCAGGCCCCCGTGCCTGGACCCCACAGTGGGCAGGTGCACTAATTTGCTTCTTCCTCCTCCTGGCTGGCCAGGAAGGCCAGCGCTGCAGGAAGGGACGGAGCACGTCCACCCTGGCCACTGGCCAGTGGAGGAATTTGAGGCGGCCCCCAGGGACCCCCCAGGCGGCTGTCCGTCTCCAGCACAGGCCTGGAGCCAGGGGCTGTAGAGAACAGCAGGGTCAGACCCACACGGGCAAAGCAGAAAGTGGAGGCAGAGGAAAGAGCACCAGATTGGGGTCAGGGTGTCCCGGCTCTGCCTCCGTGGCCTCAGGCAAGGCCCTTCCATAGCCTGGGTCTCAGTTTCTTCGTCTGCGCAATGGGAGGGCAGCCTGTTGGGCTGCAGGAGCCCGAAGCCTGGGGCCAGAACTGAAGTCACTCCACCATTCACATGCTTGTCCAGCCCCCTGCCAAGTGCCAGCTCACAGCCACCTCAACCAGCTGAAACTGTCACGTCCCGTTTCACAGGGGAGGAAACTGAGGCTCAGATGTGCGTGGCAGCAGGGAAAAAGCAGAAGATAATTTATTTGTTTATTTTAATATTTTTTCTTTATTGCGTTTAGGGAGAGGAAGATGGGGGGAGAGAGAGATAGAAACATCGATGAGAGAGAACATCGATTGGCCGCCTCCTGCATGCCCCCCACTGGGAATCGGGCCCACAACCTGGGCGTGTGCCCTGACCGGGAATTGAACCAGTGACCTCTTGGTGCTTGGGTCAACACTCAACGAGTGAGCCACACCGGCCGGGCGGAGGTTAATTTACATCTGAGCCTCTTTCCTCCATTGGCTTCTAGAACATTCTGTCCTGGTTTTCTACCTACCTCCCTGGTCGCCTTATCTGCCTCCTCACTGTTTCCTCCTCTCACGCTTGGTTCCTGGGCCTCGTCCCTTTACTGTTTACCTTCACCCCCAAGTCAGGTTTTCTCAAACCTTTGTGACCATGACAACATCGTGTCCCGGGACTCAGGCTGAAATGAACTGAAACCAGATTTTTTGAACCGATAGACACCTTGTGATGTGATTCCGTCTTGTCCATTGTCTTTCAGTGCTGACCACAAGCCACTCCATCGAGGTCATCAGCCACCGATCGGTCTGGGCCGAACAACACGAGGCCCCAGATCCGGGCGATCTGGGCAACTGCAGCTCCTCTCGGGCCCTGCTTCGGACCCTGCCTCCGAACTTGCATTTTATCAAGATCTCCAGGGCGTCGGTGTGCACATGCGAGTTCCAGAAGTGCTGTTCGGGTGCCCTCCTCCATGCAGCTTTAAATGCTGTCTGTATAGTCACAGCGCCCAGCTTTGTATATATATTACAGGGATAACGCTCTGGCCAGAACTCTCCCCGGCCTCCAGCCTCGGGATGGCTAGTTAGCAGCCTAGACTTCATGGGTCCACAACTGGGCTCTGGGCTCCATTCCTTCTCAGCCAGCTGACGGCCCCTGCCTCAGTCCCTCGCCACAGACAGGGACACCCCCTCCTCCTGCTGCTCAGGCCTTCAGGTTGACCTCAATTCTTTCTCTCACACCCTCGTCTGAGCCACAAACAAATCCTGTCAGACGCTTCCCTAAACCCCAGTGTTAAGCTAAGTCGAGTCCCATCCCTCCTCTGCTCAGTGCCCTGCGTGGACAACCGTCTCACTCGGCGTAAAAGCCAGGGCCCCTCGAATGGCATCAAGGCTCCCCCATCCCCTCACCAACCTCGCCTTCTGCTTTTACCCCCTTGTTCACACGACTGCAGTCACACTGCCTCCTTGCTGTTCCTTGAATGTGCCAAGCACATGTCCACCTCAGGG